GAACATCTAAGATGGCTGCTATTAGTACTTCGAGCAATACGGTCCGCTGGCTTATCCCTGAAACCTGAGAAATGTCATTTCGGTTTCAAGGAACTCCGATTCTTAGGACATGTGGTGAGCCATGAAGGTGTTCGTCCGGACCCCGACAAGATCGACGCCGTCCGAAAATTTCCGGTGCCAACAGAAAAGAAGGCCGTAAGACGTTTTCTTGGCCTTTGCGTCTACTACCGCAGATTTATCGCAAATTTCTCGCACATAGCGTCGCCCTTAACATGCACAACGAGAGACGATGTTCCATTTTTATGGGGCGAAGAGGAACAAGCAGCATTTGACGCTCTACGACAGCGCCTGCAGACACCCCCTGTGCTTGCTCAATTTGGCGAGGACGCTCCAGCCATGATCCGCACTGATGCCAGCAACGTAGGTTTAGGCGCTGTACTCGTCCAGTGGCAAGACTCAGCCGAGAGAGTGATTTCATATGCGAGTAGGACGCTTTCCCGTGCCGAGTCCCATTATTCCACAACGGAAAAGGAATGTCTTGCTGTAGTATGGGCAGTTCTGAAGTTTCGCCCATACCTCTACGGCCGTCCCTTCCACGTAGTCAGCGACCATCACTCTGCTGGCTGACCAACTTGAAGGACCCATCCGGTCGGCTAGCGCGCTGGAGCTTACGCCTACAAGAATTCGATATGATGGTCGTCTGTAAGTCGGGACGACAGCACTCTGATGCTGATTGCTTATCCAGGTCGCCTATAAAGCAAGATGATGTCTCAGAAGATGATGACATGGCATTTTTAGGAGTGGTCGACACGGTCACCATTTCGTCTAAGCAGAAAGAAGACAGTGAGTTGCTCTCTCTTATTAATTTTCTTAACGGCCAGTCTACAAGCGTTCCCAAGATATTTGCAAGGAGCCTGCCATCATTCTGTTTGCGCAGTGGTGTCCTATACAAGAAGAACTTTGCCCCCAGCGGAAATGCCCACTTACTTGTCGTCCCGACATCCATTCGCGATGAGATCCTGAGCGCTTGCCACGATGAGCCAACCTCCGGCCACCTCGGATACACGCGCACATTGGCCAGAATCTAACAAAAGTACTACTGGCCGAAGCTTCCAGGCACTGTAAAACACTACGTCCGCACGTGCCTCGATTGTCAACGACGAAAATCGTCACCTTTAAAACCAGCCGGATTGTTGCAGCCAGTTCAAGTGCCCACCATGCCTTTTGCACAAATCGGAATGGATCTCCTTGGACCATTTCCGACTTCGCATACTGGAAATAAGTGGGTAATTGTCGTTACGGACTATCTTACTCGCTATGCAGAAACAAAGGCTTTATCAAGTGGAACCGCAGTAGAAGCGGCACGATTTTTCATTGAAAATATCGTTCTGAGGCATGGTGCTCCTAGAATTATAATAACAGACAGAGGTACCACTTTCATGGCCATGCTCCTCAAGTCAGTGCTTGAGTTGAGTGGAACAGCGCATCGAAAAACTACCTCCTACCACCCACAAACCAACGGCTTAACAGAACGCCTCAACAAGACAATTGCTAATATGCTTAGTATGTACATTGACGTGGATCATAAAAATTGGGACGACGTTCTACCGTACGTGACGTTTGCCTATAATACGGCGCAGCAGGAAACTACACGGAGCACGCCATTTAGTCTTTTTTATGGCCGTGAAGTGACGACAATGCTTGATGCCATGCTGCTGCACGACTGCGAGGATACAGACACGGATGTTCAAGCCTTTACCCAACGAGCTGAAGAGGCACGGCAGCTAGCACGCGTGCGAATCGCCCGACAGCAGAGTTACGACGCACAACGTTATAACCTGCGACACCGATACGTCACTTATCAACCAGGCGAGAAAGTGTGGGTCTGGAGCCCTATTCGCCGACGCGGCCTTTGTGAAAAGTTACTGAAGAAGTACTTTGGTCCCTACAATGTTATACGGCGCCTAAGTGACGTGAATTATGAGGTCATCCCTGACAGTTCCTCGCGAGCTCAAAAATCTGAAATCGTACACGTTGTGCGGATGAAGCCATATTGCAGTGAGCCAGTTGCGTAATACGTCAACTACATTTTGTATTCTGTATTCTGTAGCCGAGCATCGGGTCGATGCTCTTCCTGGAGGGAGGCAAATGCCGCATTCAACCTGCAGAGGAGAGCTCGCACAGCCAGAGAGGAAGACGAAGCTCTTGCCCGGTCCTCTTTACGAGCGCCTTTCATTTTTAATTAAAGTGAGCTCTTCTATACCGAACTCCTGCTGTGTCTGCGTCGTGACAATAAATATATATATATATATATATATATATATATATATACTGTGAGTGACAGCGACGCCCATGTCGACGCCGGTGGCAAAATCGAGCCGAGTGTGTCCATATAATTGCTGTCGCAATTAAACATTTTGTTCAGGCATCCTGCTGTTTATTTATTTATTTATTTATTTATTTAAGGAATACTGCAGACAGTTTTTCACCATCCTAGCAGGAGAGGGTTACATAAGGTTCCTAACACAGAGGTCAAAACTAGAAGTCGGAGCGTGCACGCAGTCGGAAGGCAGTGAATTCCAGTCTTCAATTGTTCTTACAAAAAAGGAGTACTTGAATGTGTTATTTTTAGGAGCATATGGTCTTACAGTTTTTGAATGATTTAACCTTGCTGAGCGCTGAGGAGGTGGCAGAATGTACAATTCTTTATTTAAACCAGATTCATTGTTGTATAGTTTATAAAAGAAGACTAACCTTGCAATTCTTCGCCTACATTCCAGTGGTTCCAGCTCACATTTATTTAACATTACAGAAGCGGAGGAGAGGCGCCTAAAGTCTGAAAAAATGAACCGTGCACTTAGCCGCTGAATCCTGTTAGAGCTGTAACGTCTTTAATTTCATCATCATAGGAGGAAAAATTGAGGTCAGTTCTATTATTAAATTTCATGCTGAAGTCGCTGCATGTGAGGGCATGTACTTCAAAGCGTGCTTTGCTCAATGGCATTTTTTGAAACTTGGTATATTAAGTCTATGATACCTCAGACCGTGGCGGATCCAGAGGGGGAGGCGGTAGGGGCCATCGCTCCCCCCCCCCCCCAAAAGCCTGTGTTAGCACCCCCCTTCATTACAGTGCTTGTAGTCTGCCTCCTATCAAAAATTAGGACAAATTAGTGGAACCACCATAAGCACATGTAAACAGAGCTTATGCTACGAAGAGACTTTTCTGCTAGTAAAAAAAATTCATGATCACGCCTCCCTCTCCAATGTTGCTTCCGGCAACACCACCCCTCAATGTGAGTGTCCTGATTTGCACCTGCCCTCAAGAGACAATATACTCCGTATTTACTGGTTGGCAAATGTGTAGAACCTAGATGGCATCAAAATATATGATGTAACGGCGTTTTGTGTGGCAATTTTAAGGTGGCGTCTCCATTCATGTCATCTTTCTGCATGTTTGTTGCTCATCAAGCAAGCGTCTCCTCGTGACAATCAAAGTGATCTTAGAATTGTGAAGGAATAATTTGCTGATGGTGGGAGGGGTGAAAATAGTTATCTCTTTAGTGCCCCTTTAATCAAAAAGAATTTCAGTGTAACTAGAACATTGCCTGAAAGCCTTTGTTTGGATATTCTAATGCTCGCAATGAAGAAAAGAAATGTACATTCAAGGGCTCATTTTTTTTGTTAGGCACAATATTAATGAGAACTAGCAGACAATGATGCCAAGAAAGGTATAGGCAACGTCGTTAGAAGTAATTGTAATGTAAATCTGAAGAAAGAAAAGTGGACAAATGGATAACTTGCCACAGGCAGGATCCAAACCTGCGACCTTTGAATAACAAGTCCGATGCTCTGCCAACTGAGATACCACTGCGGCTGTCCCTCCGTGCACTTTGTGGAGTATATATGTGCACTAAATGTGGAAGTGTCAGCACCGACAGTAGCCGCGACGGAGAGTGTGGAACACTCTTTTTTTTCTGCTTTAGTGCATCATGTAGCACATGTTGATATTACGAGCTGGCAGCTGGCCAATAATCCCAGCCAGCTTATATAAGACCACTTAATTGCTATGTGATGCCAACATGCTATTCGTTGGTCACAGGTGTGGTCACTGCCCACAGCAAGTCATCGTGTCATCTGTTTTTTTTTTCTTAACATTTATAATTACTTCTAATAACACCTGCTATGCTTTCCTTGGCATCATAGCATCATTGTCTGTTGGATATTATTAATTCCATATTCGTAAATAAAACTAAAAAAAACTTCGCGATCTCCCGCTTAAGGGAACCATGTGTGGGACGCTTACACTGGCGGCGGCGTTGATGGTGGTGGCACTCATCGCAGCGTTGCGAAGAAGGGAAACTTGGGTAGGCGCAAAGCAGGCAGTGATAAACCGGTGTTTCCTACTAGAACATGCCAGTCGCTGTGAATGGTCGATGAGAGATTGAAGGCGCCGATTGGATACAGAGATCTACAGTTCACGTTTAGTTGACATGCAAACTTTGAATTTTGATTGTTCAACAACGCACAGGAGAAATCTCCCATCGGCACTACTTTGGATGTCAAGATCCAGTGTCTAGAAATGAGGGGTGGCTAGTGAATGGTTGTGCATCACGAGCAGTCGGTTTTTGCAATCAAGAAACTCGCCAGCAGATGCTGTCTGCGTTGCGAGGCGAGAGAGGGGATAGCGTATACAGAGGAGAGGGGGCGACCGTGCATTGCACTGGGAGTGTAAATGCTGCTGGGAGGGATTCTTAGAGGAAAGGAAAGGGGCGTGAGTGTTGGGTTTGCAAGGCGAGAGAGAGGGGGAGGGGCGCGCAAGCGTTGTAAGGGTGGTCACGCCACACACCCGATTGAGCTCGATCATAAAACGCTTCGCATCTAATAAAACTGATTTTGTAGACCACTGTCTCGTAAAAGGATACTTACTATATGAGTGTCCATTGTCGTGCTTGTGTCAACCCTACTGGTGTTGTAAAAAATTCGTTGGCTCTATTTTGCAGTGTGAACTACAGGAGCTCAAGTCCGACTTGTATGAGGCGCAGTCAACTAGTTCTGTGCTGAATAAGGAGCTTCAGCATCTTGTGCTGCAGCTGCATTCAGCCCAGTTGCAAGTGTCTGCGCAGATGGGGCACGCAGGTGACTCTACTGCCATCAAGCAGAAACTGGTGAGTTCCGTGTTAAAATAAGTAATTATATGCCCCACAGTGATGTCTTCAGTGAGGGGCACACCCAGTGTCTCTGATGGACACACCCAGGGTCTGTTGGAGGGATGCCAACAAGAGAGAGAGCACTGCACGGGGGTTCTAATGTACTCTCCAGGGTGATCTTGCTCCGAGTCTAGCCAGTGGGAGCCCTTCAGTTAGTGGGTCGAAGCACGTTCGCAACATGAACTATGAAGGCATGTTGCACATCACATGTTTCGAGTGGCTTGAAATAACATTGTGCATATTTTTGCACAATGATTGAGTGGACAACTAGTGCTCATTCAACCCCCATGTGTTGCCTGTTGCTGTAAAGGATCATTTTGCTGGAGGCACTGCCATTTGATGTGCCACGTTCTAGGACCAATGTAGAGAAACGTTTTTTTTTTTTTGCTAGAAATAAATGCAATCAAAAACAATCTGCACATACATTTTAGCCATATATCTTACTCTTTTTATGCAAGAATTCAACCTGACTGATTTTGTAATAATTGGATATGTAATGGCTACTAATTATGACTACTGACAGTCACACAAATCAGCATGTTACCTTGTTCTAGAGAGTATTAATTTTGTTTACATTTTTGCACTAGCAGGAGAGTGTTGGGATTAAACCTTTCTAACTGGATGGTGAACAGCCAGTGTTGCAAATATATCCTTGAGGCTCTTGTGCCTAATGCAGAAAGTATACTCTGAAATCCGTGAAGTCGTGCAGCAAATTCGGCACGAAATTTAAAGATGTAACTTTGAGCTTAATTTTCTCTTCTTTTGATAAACCTGTCAAAGTGGCATTAGAGCTCTCAGAGTGCAATTTATTCATCTAAAGGACCTTGGCCAGGGGGTTGTTTTGCCAAGGGATAACATGGCACTACCACCCCTAGGCTGCAAACAAGTATGATTGAACCGAAATTAGAGATGCAGTGAAGCAGATGCAATGCTAAAAATTTTGCATAGTGTGCAAAGATGTGAGAATTACTAGACATAGTGGCTCTCATACAGCTAAGATTTCTCACTTGTCTGTGCTGATATGTCAGATTAATCTCGTCAATGTGTCAGCTGTGGTTGCCGGGACTGCATTATAAACTGAATGGAACAACAGCCAGGTATGGAGGTACCACTGTTCTGCCTGTATGTGTAACTTCTTGCAGGAACAAGAAATGACCATGTATCGAATGGATCTGGGCCGCGAGATGCAACTGGAGGCAGAGGTAGCCCAGCTGCGCAAGGAGAATGCTTCGCTTCGCAGGGACATAGTGTCCCTGCAGAGCGAAGTGTTTGGTGCCAAGCTGGCTGCCAAGTACCTTGACAAAGAACTGGCTGGCAGGTTAGTCTTCGCCTCGTTGTGGTGGTCTAGTGGCTAAGGTACTCGGCTGCTGACCCGCAGGTTGCGTGATCAAATCCCAGCTGCGGTGGCTTCATTTTCGATGGAGGCGAAAATGCTGTAGGCTTGTGTGCTCAGATTTGGTTGCACGTTAAAGAACCCCAGGTGGTCGAAATTTCCGGAACCCTCCACTACGGCTTCTAAAAGTTGCACAAATGTGGGACATCGCTTGAGTGAACTCTGCAACACCCTTTGAGAAGTAATATGGAATGTGTCTGGAGTTAAACTCCATTTCCTGGCGAATGTTTTCTGGAAAGCCTTACCCTTCTTTGTGTCGTTTATGTACACCAGACAAAATGATGGCTACCGTAATCTGTACATCACCACACCCGGGTTTTGTATCGCTGTAGCTTAGTAATTGTCAGGCTTATACCTGCCATTCTCGTAGACTGTTGTATAAGTGCTATAGTTATCACACTTCGTGTATCTGGGTGGCGCTGTTGTGCTTTTTTTTTTTACTGCTTAATTGTGGTATCATTAAAAAAATCTGCCCAGTAGCGTGTGCTCATTTCTGCCCAAGTAAGGAGAGGCAGATTCCAGTAGTTCTCAAAGTTAGAAGCATATCCCATGCTGCGTTATAGTAAAGTTTGGTTTTCCAACTGCGTTTGTGCGACATAAGTTCATTAACTATGATTAAGAAGTCATGCAGACTTTAGCTTTGATGGTTGCCCAGGCTCATGTTGTAATTACAGGAAACTGACAAAGCTTCCATACTGGACAGGGTTATAATAATTATGCTTCATGAGCAGGTGTTTTTTGCTGTGCGAAATGTTTTTTCTGAGTAGTATATAAAGCATAGCATATGTAACGGTAACGAACTCAATATGTTGTAATAGGGAATATTAAATGAAAAAAAACTTAATTTTGACGTGTAAATATTACGAGCATGAACCATTTCCTGGCTGTCTATTTATTTAATTTCTCACTTGTCAGCGCATTTATGTTGATGAGGACTGCATCTATATTTATGCTTGATAATAAAATAGTCTATGGAGCTATGCCTTCGTACTTTCATCTTCAAGTCATGATCGGTCTCTCTGCTAATATTATGGGTGTGTATACATTGAGCACGTAGAAAGACAGGCGTTCTTCAAAGCATTCTGCTGATGATGGCACTTTCATTGCCTTTGCATACTTCAGAATCCAGCAAATACAACTGCTCGGCCGAGACCTAAACCCAAGTGAACATGACCGCCTTTGGAATCAGCTGGAGTCTGAGATCCACCTGCACAGGCACAAGGCAGTAATTCGAGCCTGCCGAGGCCGCTCCTCCAATGCTGCTAGTCTGCCCGGGCCAGAGCTCACGATGCCCGACGAAGGCACTCCGCTGCGCCGCCATCAGGGAATTGGAGATGTGCGGACCGTGCGACTTACTAAGGGCAAAGATGAAGGACTTGGAATCTCTATCACAGTATGTGATAATGTCATCAATAATTTATGATTGATAGTTTTATCTTCTGCTCATATTACGGAAGCAAAATGAGAAAGTGGTAAAACTAAGCACTATGCTCAGCAGCTCAAAATAATACTGCTTCATGTACTCTAATTTGGAGTTCATTAGTGTGCAATTGCGATTTGAGTGACAACAGAACCATAGCTGTAGTTGCTGTGGCAAACATGCTTGTGTGCCAGAGCTTCAGTCATTAAAACGCCTATCCCAGACTATCCATGTAGTTTTGTTCATAATGCTATCTGAGCGCCCATACCTCCTTCACCCAGTGAAAACTTTCAGTAATTTTTGGTTTCCATTTGTGAGTGGCAACAAGAGTTCAACTACATATAGTGTGTCAGTTTGCCATTACATGTTCAATCTACTGAAGGCCGGCATTACTATATCTTGTAATTATAATGCCACTTTCTTTATTAATTAAAGCATACCAGGTGTATGTATAATGTTCACGATATGAATGTTCACTATAATGAGGCCCTGTATGTAAGTCAAAAATTATAAACTGTTGTACTCGTGCCTGGTAGATAGGTTGCGCTGTGACATTTGTCGCAATGAAGAATATACATTTAAGTGCATGCATTAAGCTGTTTCGTATAGTGTCTCATGGAACTACTGCGCTCCTTGCAGGGTGGTCTAGAGCATGGTGTTCCCATAGTCATTTCTGAAGTTCTCCCAGACATGCCAGCCTGGAGGAGTGGCAAGCTGTTTGTCGGAGATGCCATTCTAGCTGCCAACGGTGTCGACTTGAGAGAAGCAAAGCACAACGACGCTGTCAAGGTTCTTTCTGGCTTGGTACGCTGCACTTAATGTTCTGGCCCGTATTCATATTAAAACCGGTGTAGCATTGGTTTTGTTTAGCTGATATTTGCTCATAGGACAAAGAATTTTAGAGCGTACTTTCATAACCTCATTTTCTTGTACTCGACACTAAAAGCTGCCAGTGTCAGTGTGTCGGCACATACTTTGAATTGCCGACGTTTATGTAAGGTTTTTGTGCTGTAGTTATTTTCGCGGAGGAATTTTTTAAAACTTGATAAATTTAAATGTTTAGCACAAGCTGAATGAAGTGTAGCCCTTCATAACTAATAACTTAAGCAAATTGGCTGTCATGGTGACCTAATGATTGCAGTGCTTGGCTGCTAGTCCAAAAGGCGCGGCTAAATCTCAGCCATGACTGTTGCTTTTAGACGGATGCAAAGTGCCAGAGGTTCATCTACTGTGCGTTTTCAGCGGACAATACAACGCCGGGTAGCTGAAATTATCAGGAGCCCTCCACTTTAGCATCTCTGATAGCCCGAGCTGTTTTGGGAAGTTAAACACTAATCCAACCAACTAATAAGTGACTATAACAAGAATCGAATGGATGCTGCCAAAATCAGTGGCATCATATATATTTCTTACTTGTATTCTTGCATCTTTGTTGGTTCATCAAGCCTCCTTGTTACAGTTGCACTTGCTGTTTTGATGTGGCAGAAGTGTAGTTTACTGATACTGTTTAACTTTACGTTCTTCCTTAATGTTCTTTTCGTGTCTTTGGTTGGCAACATGTTTTTTGCAGCAAGGTGAAATTACACTCAAGGTCTTGTATATTTCACCTGACGAGGACAGTGATGACGAGACACAGGACAGTCAGCACTTGAGGTAAGGGAGCGCCCATGGTCATCACTTTAGAGTATTATAATTGGACACAAAAGGTAATTCCAAAATGATGCTTAAGACATAAATTAATGAAGGCTTATGGTATGAAAACAGTCATTTCCTAATAATTATCTGAAATGCAGCATGCCACAAGCTTCTTTAATAGACATTTTATTTATGTACGGCTAATCCTAGGGACAACTAGCTTGTACGTGTACTTTTTAACATTACCGGAATACTAGATTGTGTTTATTCTGTTACAAGAATGCATAATTCAGGGACATCTTAGCTCCCTATAGATAGAACGTTTGCGTGCATACATAAACATACTTTTCCGTTTTCGCAAACCACTAAATGGTAATAACTTCATTTAAGCTATATATGATTTAGATAAGATTGAAACATCACTGCGGCAAAGTAATAAGCAAGGTTTTTAGTGTGCACAGTATTACTATGTGGAAAAATGATGCAAAAATACCGGTTTTGCGGAAAATGATGCCGACATGTTGTGACGCTTCATGCAACCACAGTCGTGGACACATTTGTTATTGCGTAGTTTTTACGAGGGGAAAAGTTATGAAAAAGCTACATATTCATATTTAATCACTGCAAGGCACTTACAGAAAAATATAATGCACTATGTTTCTGCAATAGTTTAGTGCTTGCCTGTTCCACTTCGACCCCGGTAGACGGCGCCACCTATCCAGTCTTTCGGCAGCTTTAGGCCTCTTCCATTGAGAGCTTCAGTGAGCTGGCTGAAACAAGGCGATCACAGTTCTTTTCCGCACTTTGACTTGCCACTCGGTGGCAGGAGTCTCCGCAAAACAAATACGTTTCGCACATAGCCACAAATAAAGGTTGATTTGCAAGGTAGGGCCGCATATGTAAAGCGTATGCGGTGATTAGTTTACATTTTGTAGAAAGTCTACATTTCATAAAGGCTCGCACATGTGCAGATTTTTTCTGGTATCTGGTAACACGGTAACGTAAAGAAGTATGCGTACAAGCTAATATCCTTGATTTTGTTTTTAAGGTTCGTGAGCCTTATCAAGCAGTACTCCTATCTCCCCAACCCGAGCTATGTAAGCAAACTGAAATATTCACACCGACTGATTTTTGTTGTTGATCAGACTCTTTTGCCAGTCTACTTTTCATTGATGCAGCTGCAAATCATGAGAGTTTGATGAAATAGTGTGGCAACACAACCAATGCATCACAAACCACCAACTCTAACCTGTGGTTAGAAGTACACGCATGGCACAGAAGCTATCTTTTACATGACTTTCTCTCGCAAACAAAGAAAATGGCACTGTATACGTTACACTGTTGCTTCATTTTTCCAATGTTCAGACTACAGTTCTTCCTAAGGAATATTCTGAGGAATCGCAGTGTTGGCACTGTGCCTTTGTATTTCAGGTGTAACAATCGTTCTACTACGCCAACTTGATAGGCGTAACTTTAGTGCTGTTTGCAGATACTATCCCACAAACCTACGCATTTACTATTGACAATTTGTCTATGTGCTGTGCTATGAAGCCAAACAGTAAGTGCCCTATGGGATTGCACTGTGAATTTGAACAAGTATGCACAGAGCACCTGATTATGTTCATGTCTAAAAGTTCAAGAAGGGGAATGGTTGGGCATAAACGCATAGGTACACAAGATAGACGGGACAAAAGGAAAGTATGTAGTCCTGACTTACAATCTTGTTGTGTACATGCATGTTTCCAGTATTCCCAGGTTTTTAAAAATAGCGAGATTTCTCCTAGGCACATGCTGCACTCGCCATTAGGTGATAATAATAGTAAAATAGCCGCGGGTTCATTTTCATGGTAGCTGCTGCATTTATTCACTAGTTTTCATGACATGACTGCCATGCAAGACTGACGAATTTAAGAAAACGTAAGCGGTGTCATACTTTGATGGCTCAGAGCTTCAAAGGATAAAACAGCCAACAACAGATAAATCTATTTCTGGAACATGCCGAGAATTTTTGCTAAATGGTAACCTGATCTCTGAAAAGTAGGATACCTGTTCACTACGGTACGTACATTATAGAGCTGTGGCTTTTTGTGCATGTGTTTTTATCCAGCTTTAGCCGGTGCGACTATGAAAATGTTTGCAGGTACCATTTCTTTTATCCGGAAGATGTCAGTGAGACTAGCGTAGCTCCGAGTGACGACGAAAACGGCATGGTGGACCGGTCCCTGTCGCGCTTCGCCACATCGCCTCATATGACACCCGGTCACGGAGCCACCACAGCAGTACCTGGTCTCGCAGTGCCTGCCACACCAGAAGCCAGAGCAAAGTCCAGCGAGAGTGTCGGCCGAGAAGCTGCACCTGAGGTCAAGGCCGTTACCAACACTTCTCCGGCCAAGCTGGCTAATGAAGTGAATGGAACTGCTGGCACTGAGCAGAGGTACAACTACTATTACTTGCCATTTCTAGACCAGCAGATGTGTGTCCACCTAAAATGTTTTATTTCTGAAGAGATTGCAGTCATTTGCTAGTGTCGCATTGCTTATACTGTTTCCTGTTTATCCATCAGACTCTTCTTAGCCTTCCTGTTTAAACTTGTGGTGAGTTTTAAAAAGTTGTGAACCGCATTCACTGCAACAAGTTGTGCGCTTATTGTAATTTCTCAGTTCATTGGTACGGGCTGACGCTAACGGGTAGCTTCAGTTTGTACTAACATCTCACCGTTTGCGAGTTATCAGGTTACAGGAGAGCTAGATAAAGTGGCAATGATGCGGGTTATGACATTTGATAATGCAGACTCTAACCAAGAACATGTACAGTTTATACTACAGCAAGTTGTAGTTGTAATTTACTGCTGGTGTAAATCTTGGAAGTAGTGAGCTAACTATTAATTTGCAGCACTTACATGATTGACCTTTTTTGCAAAAACGTGTGATACAACATAAAAAAATGTTTACCCACTTTAGTTAAATAAACCACGTCAAGGTGTCGCTGCTAGCTTTCTTGCTGATGTCTAAGGTTCCTTATAATGCAATTCATCAACAATGGAAGTTTATGAACTGGCTATCATTCTCCAATAACATGCACAGGTTATGTTCCTGTAGTAGGTAGTCACTCGTGGCATAGTACTCGGAGCCACCAAATGGAGGCATGATTTGGCATTGTGAGCTTGTGCTATAATTATTATTTTTGAAATTCAAGCGTTTACCCTAATGAGCAAGCGCTCTTCGATTTCTCATGTTCACATAAATGTGTTGCATACTTTCATTGTGATGAAAAGCAACTTGCATACACGCAGGCCTTTGTGTGCGGCTATTGGTGTAGTTTTGGCCATTTGCTGCATTTCAAATGTCTGTGAAGTTTTTCTGGCCATATAAGCTGACGCCTTCTGTGTTGCCTTTCAGAGCGGTTTCTACGTGAATGGAGCCGTGAGCTCACCACACACTGTGATGAGCTCAAAACTTGTTACAGCTTGTTTCTCGACAGTTTCAAACAGCAGTTTGTCGTCCGCTGCTGTGTCCAGCTGGCACACGCTTGTTGGCACTAAATTAAAAGATTGTTTGAGTACAACGTGACTTCATCATTCCAAGCTGTTCTCAATATCTGTGCTTTTTATACACGCTTGTGAAAATTTTTTAAAGAGTCAGTTTCATTAATATGTTTCCTTATAATGCATAGTGCTTGCGTGTACAAAATGTGCTTATGCAGGTGTCTCAACTGTCAATAAATATTTGCAAGGTGTGGATTGGAATCTCACATATTTACAGACAGTGGCATACGTTTATGTTTTTATACTTATCAGAGCGGGGAATGACAATGGCCCATGCTAGAAAGTGTTTTGTAACTGTGGTCGGGAAAGCGTAATTGTTTCGTTGGCCTGTTTCACTGTTAACTGTACTGGCGCAAAACTTCAACATTGCACATTGCACTACTGCGCTGATTTGCCTCGCGGCAGTCCACCAGTTTGCTAGTTCCAAAACAAGCAAGGCAGCAAAGAGCAGTCTTTTTTCGTGGCAAGTGAGAGTATTAAGGAAGCGCTTGCAAGGAAGGCAGTGTCAAGGTACCTGAAACGTTCATGAACAAATTGGGAATGATAGATGGCTAACGTTTTTTTTTTTTCTTGTCCCTGATAGAGCCATCCCATGAAACATGTCACATACTTAAAGGGATAACCACAGTAAATATTACATTTCAGCACTAAGCAAGAGAGGGGCAGCTACTATTCCATGCTGCATAACAATGGCAGCACAATGCAAGTACACTTCACTTTATGCCTTGTGTGCACATTAGTGGATATCGGGTAGGAAGAATTGACTTTTAATTCTTTACTATAGCATCCCTTGTTGCCCACTATGCAGCCAAATACATTGTGTGGCTTTCGCTGTGCACCGAGAATTTGAGGTGGATTCTTGGGGTGCGTATTTGTTATGCATGTGCATGTGGCAGATGGCTCTGTGCAACAGTGAAGGCTGGCTTACAAGAAAATGCTGTAGGCACCCAGTCATGTTCTCGATACATTTATTGGTTACCTTATTTAATCACAAGAGGAGACCAGTTTTGGCAAGGAATCCAGTGACAGCGTGATTGATTTCTAAGTTCCAGTGGTTTGTTCGCCTGAATTGTGATTGCAGAATATACGTTACGCTATCCTGTTGAGCTGTGGCATTTATTAGGGAGGTTTCTGCGAGCTTTCCACGTCCCGCTTTGCATAAATGTATGTTCTAGTAGGTACTTGTCAAACCTCTATCTGCACTTTCGAAAGTACGTATGGGCCACCAACATAACTGACCAGGGCTGTTTTTATGTGATGCTGTGGGTACCTGTTACATTCGCAGCACTTTGATGTTCTAGAGAGAGAAAGGAAAAGAGTCAATTTTCATTTTCCAGAACAATGAGGTGCTATTGAGGCTCTGCAGATTTGGTCTTGGTTTCAGTTGTATGCAGTGTGCCTTGTGTATTTTTGATAAGGAGTGTACAGTGATTGTACCAGAATAATGTTGTCTATGTGTGGCTTTTGACAGACAGAACTGCTTGATAGCTAGCTTTCCAGTTTTGACGACATTGTGATAGCTGTGCTTGAAAGTGTAGTCACATCGTCTACACAAATTCAGTTTAGGACTTGGTGTGTTCATATGCACAGATTCAAGCTTTCATGATATACCTAAATCACCGGTATAACTTCCTTTGTTTTTTTCCTACGGACTTTTTCATTGCCTTTGATGCTGCTTATGTCATTGGCTATTGCTGTTGAGCGAGCGAAGAAAAAACATTTTGTTGTTGGAATGTACGCAGAGCTGTGCGATTTCTTTATCTGCATGAAGTGGACATTGAATCCGTGAATGTCTTTGTACAAGTACTTTAAAACAAATTCTCCACACTTGGATAGATGCAGTCAACAATAGAGATGTCACTTTAGAGTGTAAAGCTCAATCATTTTTAAGCTTGCCAAATCTGAGCTTTGGACTGTTTCTTTCAGTGTTAAAACAAGTTTTGGGTACTGTCTTGCTGACCACTTATCATTTTTATTTTCTTTATATTTATTCAAAAATGATGAAAGGCATGTAAGAGGTATTGTAAAAAAGGCAGGAGGATTGTTTTAGTAAAGAGAAGTTATATTTGTGTGCAGGATGTGTTATCTATCATAACGGTATTTAGTGCAAACATTAGGCAATAAACTCAATACCATTATGAATAACATGTTTCAACTTGCCCAACAAGCATCGTTGTTGGGTTGTCTATTGCAATGTCAGTTTTTTTAGCATCAATGCTGTGAAATAAAACAGAAGTGTAGCTTTGCTTTTTTTTTTTTTTTTGATAGTGTGTCATGGGACATAGACTTGCAATATTGTGTGCATCTCTGAAATTATTGTTTTTGAAGTCATTCATTAGTGACATTATTCACTGTGGAAGTGGCCTTCTTTCACCGAGTTTTTTTTTAACTGGCCTCCCATACCTATCAGTCGTTGCTTATGATGTGCAATATAACTGCGGAACTGATTTACTTACAAGTAACTAAGCTTCTGCAGCATAACTTTATTGCAGAAGCACAGAGTCAAATTCATCTTATTGCTTAATACCTAATTCCATGAATAGTACTAGAGCCAGTATTTCTTTTTTTCTGATTCCAAAAGGAAGAATCATATTCTTTCGTGCCAACATTTGTTTCCTGAAGCATTAAGCTTTCACAGTACTTGCTGTGGAGGGCAAAACAGTAGTTTTTGGTATGCTAGCTTACAATGACACTGATTGAGGTTATCAACTAAGTATTTCATTGTGGAAAGCTTGTAGGTCGTCCTAGACAATTTTAATGCACTTAATTCATATTTTGCAATTGAAATTACAGTGGAGAATTGCCTGGAAGTATTCCGGTTTGCAAACAATTTCAGTTATGCAGTTTGCAAACAAGTTCAAATCTAGTGCTGTTTTTTATTGGGCACTTCTGTTTTTGCTTATGGCACACGAAATTTCCATACGCTTAACGGTACGATTATAGTAGCTCGGTGCAGCTGGTGTGACTGTGGCATAGGCGACAGTGGCAGTGAATCAAAAGAGCAGGCTTGAACCTTGCAAGCTGAGGCATTATAAAGTTTAAAAATTTCTAAAGACACCCCTGTTTCATGGGCATTAGGTGTGTTGAAATAGTGTTGAAGTTTTAATTGTAACACTTGCCTTCATTCAAACTGCTTTTGTATGAGGTTCAAAAGTCGGTGCACAGTAAAGATTTTTTTTTCTAACAAGGTGACCCTGAAAGGCAAGCATGTCATTGAAGTGCACAGCAAGAAGCAATTTGAAGGAATCGCCAACACCTGCCCGGTTGGATGAAATTATTGCGTAATCAAAGTACATAGATGCAGCCAACATTTAGAAACTGTTCCAGGCATGGCTTTTTGTTGTGTTCCTTCAAGGTGCACAACAATGCAAGTCCACTTTACATGAAATTGTGAGTTACGAGCTAAAGAAATAAAATTGCCTTCTTTTGTGCCTCTGCAAAAAAATTGCAATTGTTGTTTACCAATGCACTGTAAATCCAAGAACTATGTTATGAGCGTTTAAGAACCACTTTCCTGCAGAGCATTGTTGCTTTTCTGCGGGACCTTCTCCAAAGTGGCTAGTTGTAGTGTAGCAAGTGCACAGTCATATGCCTGCAAACTATTCCAGGCTGTACTATAAGTAATGTCCCCATAACATTACAAAAGCATAAAATGTCACCATTATTTCAACAGGGCATATTCAGTTTATACACCATGCATGTACATAAGTTTACAGTGCAAATTTTGTTTGCAATATGCTGTATAGTCCAGTTTGAAACTGCATGCAAGGCTGTAGGGCAAACAATTTAAGCACATGAATATGTGCAATTATCTGTGTCTGTAGATTCTGGAACTGTTTTAGAAGGTTAGCTTTTACAGATGCACAGATGGGGCAACCCCGTCAATCATCTACTTCTATAAACTACTCACTGCTCTCATGTTTGTATGTTGCATTTCATATTAGACCGTACGCTACTACTATTTTTATTAAACACTGCCAAAACATTTTTGGCACAGAGAGCTCTCGTATCTGATGTGTATGTCTAGTCTCAAGCTGTGCATTTATTTTACCATGGCAGTTATTGCAGCATACAATGTGGAATTCTCATTGCATGTGAAATGCATTACTTTACATGGAAATAAAAGGCATCATAAACTGTGTCTTCTTGTATTCAGCACCACTGTCCCATTGCAAACTTGTTGATGCCTTGGCATAACGAAGGCCTTGAACACATTTGTGCCGAACACCTTTGTGAACATGCTGAACGAAATACCCGATCTCTAGCTATTACCTGAGCAGCATATTAGTAAATGCTTACACTTTGTTACAACCTTAGAAAAAATTTAAAAAATTCCAGGGTTCCTTATGCACTCACTTAAGGGGACTGAGAGGGGATAGCCATCATTTTATTCCCTCTCAATGTCACCATAGTTTTATATAAATACACTAGAGGGAACTCCGGCGTTCGGGTCTATTGGAGCTGCAATGCGCGGCGCTTCAGCGAGCATGGGGATGATGAGTAGTACACGGATTTGTCTCATTTTCGTACTTCTGGTTCCACATGGGTTCGCATAGCTTGAAGCTGTTTGTCACAAAACAAAAATCAGCGAATGTTGAGCAGTTGCGCTTCACCACCTTAATCTTTTATACCATTTCGAATCTGGTCACAAAGTTCAAAAGGGTTTGTTACTTATTTTAAAACAAAACCTAAATGCAGCAATAAAGAAAGCCACAAGTGCGATTCGAGGCCTGCAAGTGTGAAGACTAGGCAAATTCATGTACTACCATCATTCCCATGGTCGCTGAACGATTCCAGCGCCAGAGTCCCCTCTAGTTGATTTTAGGAAAGTCTACGGATGTAATGTTCCTGTCTCGCCACCCTTCGAAAGTTTGCTCTACCTAACCATGGTTGGTTTTCTGTTGCCTCCGAGATTGGAGGCACCTCACATTTTTGCACTACCCCCATGATATCTGCCGAAATATTTTAGTTGTAAACAAGGAGCATTTATTTTATGCCAAGCCTAGTATTTACAGTGGCAAAGCTAAAGTACTCGTGCTTTGAACTGAAACCAGCTGGTGCGACACTCGCATAAGGCAAAGGTCGTGCGCACCGCAGTTTAGCGAGTGGAACTTATTGCTTTGTAGCCAACTATAGGCACCTGGCAATGCAGTTTACGAGATCTGATGGTAGCGCCAGAACACACAGCATAGCGAGTAGGCGCAGCAAAACTGAGCTTTCACGTGCATATAATTTTCTTGTTTAGTTGTGATCAAGGCGGTCGTGGCTGATTATGTAAGCTCCCAGGAAGCGTTCTTTGAAAACGTGCCAAAAAGGGCACTGACACTTTAGCATGTCACTGTGTTCAGCGAGCGTTCCATTTTCTTAGTATCCCTGGCGGTCGGTACCAACAATACTAAGGCGGCCCAAAGAGCTTCGTCGCGCCCTCTGGTCCACTGTCGGGTGCCTATAGCTAAGTACTAGCAAAAAAAAAATATAATTTCACAGCAACAGCTGGAGCACATTTTCGCGCAGCTGTGTCCAGTGCTGTTGAAAAACCTTGTGCACAGCACTCGTCAAGTTCTTTGTGTAGAGGTCTAGTGTATGAAATAGTTGCTATTACTAAGAAGTAATAATGTAATGTGACGAGGGTCGATGTGTATAAGGGTCTCTAATTGGGGGGGTAACGGTACAATAAAGAGTGATGGTTTATGCGAATGCTGCTAGATGCAGCGCACAACTGTTTCTGTTCGGAAGCAGCTTTTTGCTCTCGTTTATATCAACAGTTGTTCAAAAGTGAAGAAACTTTTAATTGTACACGGCAACTTACATACTTTCACCACCACCACCACCGTGAGGAAAGCAAATAAACAAAAAAAAACAAGTGGTAGCTTCAAAATCAAGCTGTGTGCGCTTGTGCACATAACACGTCGTAAAAATCTAGACAAGCAGATCAACTGCGGCATACAATAGTGCATTTTGCGGATCAACAATCCCTCTCGATGCAATGCAACATGATCACCTTATTTGGGCAACACAAACTTTGTAAAGCGCAACGTATAGATATCGACGCACCTGGTCAATACACAAATGTATGCACTGCAAGACATAACTATGGCAATGTCTTAGCCATGGGCACTTAGCGAGAGCCTGTGAAAGTGAATTCACATAACACAAACATTAGGAAACCACTAGGTCTGCCCGACACAAGAAGGTTATACTAGAACCCACATAACCACCAGTAAATGACATACAAACAATTGATTTTGATTAGGCCCATTGTGCAACTACATTCAAAACGAGATAGCAAATAAAATATTTTTTCCAGATAGGTTGTTTAACAAGGTACCTTTTGATAGTTCAGATGCGACTGATAACAAGCAGGGACGTCCAGAAGCAAAAACAATAAATAATCGCACTCATCACCAGAAACAAAACACCGACACTCGCAGCTTCACTTCTTGGTCTGTGAAAGGGGGTTTCATGAGCTGTACATTTAACTGCATATGATACACCAGAACGTGCGCAGTCAGTGAAATGTGGTTAGTCTACAAGCTTTGACAATGCAGGCAAATTAAATGCCTTTGCTTGTTCTTTCGCTTTATATGAGCAAATCATGGTCACTCATGGCCGACCAAAATCCATACCATGTGACAAGCTGGCAGCTTAGACGTATACTTTCACTAGCACAGTTGACTGCAGCGTATCGACAGTTGTACCATCTGCACAATATTTTCTTGAACAGTAACTGGCATCTGCTGCTGGTCTTCATAATTTTCACTGTCTGAGCAATAAAATTTGTTCATTTGTCATCAACATTGTTCAACCATGCTATCATGCAGCAGTTGCACTAAAAGAATAATTCAGCACAGTCTGTAACAATTAACAGTAAACAGAAATATTTCATTTCAATGCAGTAACTTTTTTACCGCATTAATTTTTTGGGGGATTTTAAGTTCAACATTACACACCAGAAAACTCTTAATCATGCTTACATGCACAGAGTTGATCAGTCTCCTCTGATCACTCATTGCAAGTTAGAACAAAGAACTCATTCTTGGGTTAGTGGACAGGCAACACAACCTATGCGAGCAATCTCGCAAGCTAAGCATTTTTTTTTTAAGAAAACGGTAGCTTTTGGCTGTGAATGCTGACGAACCACAATGCGTAGTAGACACGATGGCAAAACATTCGTTCAGGCAGTGGTAGTTGTGCAGGCTTTGGGTGCACACGAACGGTCATGCTGTAAGAAAAAAAAAACATAGAATGTCAATGTCTCAACAGCAAACCACTTTATTAAGCTGCAACATTATTCAGTCCTAGAAAAGGGCTCTTTTTACAGCAGTTGTGGCACAGAGTGTGCCTAAAATGGTATATACAAATACACAAGCATAAAAACTTGAGCACATAATCAGTAACATCACTCACAAGTATTAAGGCAACTGTGTTCCATGAAGTAGCTTTATTCGCTGCTTCTGCCATATGGCAAAGTTTATCATATAGTAGGAAGGCTGGCTTAGTTGTCAAAGTTTGTCATCTGAAGTCGATTAATGTGGTAGCAAAGCTGGCTTGGTTGGTCTCTTTGGACTTGGAAGTACTCCTTGTTGTTGAGCGCCAAAGTGTACTCCTATTTAACATTTCCCTGTCTTTTGTTGTCAACCCCTGAGGATATCATCACTTGAAGTTTACAGCTGCAGAAGGTACACAATAGATAAAAGCTTTCAAACACTGCAAAAACGCAGGTTTTTTGTCCTGTACAGCAGCAAGAAAGTACTTATGCTCAAACCAAAATGAATTTCAAAGCTACAAATTACACAGTAAGCCAAATCTAGACTATTAAGTAATTTATCACATGCTACAAGTTCACTACAACTAAACAGTATGTAGTGGCCAGGCCAACAACTCTGTGTAATGCATCGTGCAGCCCGTCCAACGCAGAATCAATTCCTAACTGCTGATGGCAGTGTTGTTGCCAGTGCACACATTATCATTGTGTTCACACTCAAACAAAACATACATGCAACCTCTGCCATTCTTCCACACAGAACACAATTGAAAACTGTGTTAAAATGCACACAAGGCCAGCACATTCCTATCTTTTTCTTTCTAAATGGTGCAATGGAATCACTCTTCTTTCTCCTCTTCATCTGCAATATCTTCTTTATCGCCACTGTGCTCTTCTGTTATTTCTTCATCTGCTTTCATTTCATCATCATCGGCCTTCTCTTCACGTTCATCATTTGGAGCACTTTCGGTCTCTTCTTGTTCACTTTTGCTCTCAGCTTCCTCACCTCCAGTAATACCTTCATCTTTCTGCTCCTCAGCACCTCCCTGTTCGTCCTCTTCCACATTTTCAGCGGGTTCATCCACTTTGTTCTTTTTTTCGGCGTTTTCTTCCTCTGTACCTCCTTCTGGTTTCTGTTCCTTGCTGTCATCGCCAACATCCATGTTTTCACCGCTATCCCCAGTACCGCTTTCCTGAGCGCCCTCTTCACTAGCACCATTTACCATGCCGGATTCAGTCTCTCCCTCACCTTTGTCACTAGGCATCGCAATGGGCTCCACACCTTCAGGAAGGATACTCTGAGGAGAAGAACAAAACAAGCTTGCAAAGTACAACCAACATTTATGAAAGATAAGATGGTTAGCCGACTCCCTTATTGTCGTTTTCACTGCACAATTCTGGCAAAATGTAGTTAGTACCTATGTCACATTGTGCAGTTCGTTTTCCCTGTAAAAAATATATATGCAGTGCACAAGAAGAAAAAAAAGGCAGGAAAAAAACGCAAACAGTCCTAGCACTGAATGTCGATACTATATTTGGTGGCATGCTAGCCCCCTTTCCCCCCACTTCACCTCTGCTTAAGTTATGAGGGGGGGGGGGGGGTTGTTCTTCAAGAAATAATGAAAATAGCTGTTTTTTTCCAAATAGCCAAGGGCTCTGGCAAGTGCAACTGCATGAACAATTGACATAAAATTTCTTGCAAGTGTTTAGGGGACTCCACGCTTCCAAGAAGAATGATGAAAAATAGTATAGGAAATGCCGGCCTACTACCCTAAAATTTTTATTGTTAATGCCGTAGTTGGTATCAAGCAAGTGTGCTTGCAGCACTCACCCAATGAGTGTTTAGAAAAGGCTCTCAAAGGTTGCTTTTCTAGCTTTCACTGTGACTGTGCTGTGCTTTCTGCGCAGGCCTGGCGTTTTCTCACTTTCGTTAATGCTAGTGAGCAAAAATAGTTGTCTGCAATTGTAAGGTGCTTATCTCAAAATTATATTTATGAATAGCGTGAAATAGTAAACCATATTATCGGAAGTGTAGAGGAAAAAATTAATGTGAAATTGGAAACAACTTTCTTAAACTTTTCAATTCTAAGTTAGTAGAACATATGTTATATTAAATACCATCAACTCGTTAACACCTATTGACATCTTGAGTATAGGGATGCCCATAGAAGCTTCCGAAAATGTTTTTTGCAGCCTGATGAATGCCATTTAACCATAACAAACCCTCGCACATTCCTTTTTCCTTCCATTGAACAAATATCTTGGCCAAAAACCAGTTCTCACACTGCCAAGACTAAGGTATTCATCTGCCTTATGGCTGATAGGCTGCTTTGTTTGGAAGTCCGCGAGATTCTCAAAAACCTACACCACCAGCACAATTTAAAGGAATCCAGCTTCTTTTTTTTTATATTTCTTCGAGGTCCATGTTTCAAACCTATACACACCACAGGAAAAACAAGAGTGTTGAGAAGAAACATTTGTTTCCAGGCTAACATCCTTGTCTTGGAAGATAATGGAGATACCATTCACTGCTCTCTTTTCTAGTACTATGCTTCAGTAATTTTTTATGTTCAGCTACAGTTCCTGTTTGTTCCAGACCTTAGAGAGGCAACATTCCATAACATCTATTATGTTACTTATCTCAATTGCCAGTCCTTCACCTGATGTCATAACATTAGCTACATATTAGCACTCACACCTCAATATAATAAACACAGATATAACGGAGTAAATAAAATATAGTCTTACAAAAGATACAGTGTTAGAAATAACCTTTATAGCGAATTTTCTGATATAACAAACTTAATCTTTTTGTAAAATGTAACTTTGTTATAATGAGGTTTGAGTGTGCATATAACAGCAATATTAAGACTTACTGATCCGTTCAGGTTGTACTCTGCAGGGTCAAGCTTCAAAAAAAGGATCAGCCTGTCCTCTTCTGTGGCTTGATCAAAGTCTTCATAATCCTATAGAATAAAAAAGAAGTGCCATTACAATCATGCACCTCCCTAGGAGCACTGTTACACATTTCGGGTCATCTAATTTTGCTGAACAAAATATATCAAATGTTGAAGGAATGAAGCAAGCCCTGCAGTGATTTCACCTCTGACTCAAGCCTATGCTAGATAAGTTCTTGCATTGGAAAAACAGTCATAAAAGCAGTGCAGCCAAGTTAACATTTAGTCAAGAGGCTGAAAAACGTTTGTCTGGTCAGGTAGCATGTTAACAAACAACTATTGCCTGGCAAGAGCAGTCTGAGACATTTTAAAAGCAGAGGATGATCTGTGTTTTGTTATTCGGATGTTACATGTAATAATTGTCTTACCCCGCAGTATTCCTTTTCGTTGAAGAAATGTGGCGGGAGTGTGCAAACACCATCGACCTTCTTGCAGTGCTCCTTCATAAAGTCTCTGTCTTCTTCTTTGCCAGGTTCAGTGATGTCGATACTCTCGAATGGCACTTTTATAGACTCCAAGATCATTAGAGCTCTTTGCTGATTCTTTTTAACCTGGAAGGAAAGCGGTCGGAACATTTAAACATGAGCACACCGTAAAACATGCATGAGGTTGGAGCATGAGGTTGGCCGTATGCAATGCCTGCATGAGCAGATGAATGAAAGGAGATGTTACATTATCTGGTTATGGTAAGTGAACTTTTAAGGATCGCAATAACAATTTTAGCCAGGTCTGAAGTATATATATTCTTAGAACCTGTTACTGGTACTATTTATAGTGTCTGTTATGGCACTGCTAATATAGCTTGCCATTTGTTGAAATCTTGACGTTTGTTGCAATCTTGAATACCTGTCATGTATGCAATCTTGGTTTCACAAGGATCAGTTGTTATAGTGATATTATCTGGTGCACTGATACTGTGCTTTTCTCTGCACCCAAAGCCAAACTTTCAGCACTCCTTCCACAAGCCTTGACTCAACAGCGTTGTTTGTGCCATATCGCATCGCGGCGTCACAAACGAAGACGTACAGTGCGTCCATCTTAAACAAAAGCAGCTGGACGAATTGTACCACTTCGACGGTGATGATGACCATATACAAACACTGCACGTGGTTGTTTAGCTTGAACGTCAGAACACGATTAATCTTTACTGTGTTGTTGGTTTGTTTTTCTTCCTCTGTGTTGTAAATAGCAGTGCGAGCATATCTGACAACAGATCGGGAAACACGAATCGAAAACCAATATAGTTTCCAGAGCGCATCACCACGCAGCAAGAATGCTTCGGTGCCACTGCCCACAAAGCAGTCTAGGAGCTCTTTTTCGCCAGCGAGAGAAAGAGAGAAAACACACGCACAGAGAGAGAGGCGCATAGCTGGGCGTTTCAACACCGCGCTATATTTTAGCGGTTTTGTCGCACAGCGGAAAGAAAGCCGGCCGTGCAAAAGCCCGGGAGAGCTGCTGGCAGGAGCCCATGCGTGCGAGCCATGCGCAATGGGTGGGACCGCGCGGCCCAACCCCTCGAGCGGGGCTCGACATCCTCTAGGGCACTACCGGAGAACACGGTCCGGAAGAAACGCTCCCGGCGTAAACAGGATGCGCGGTCACGAACGACGTCTCTGCTTTGCACGGTCGTTCGGATTCCCGAATTCGGCGCCGCACTCGTTTTGCTACGCGACTGGAACTCTCGATTGCCGGTGCAAACCCCGCTGAATAAGGAGTGGGCCGGTCCGACTCCCTCCCTCGCAGCCACCACCACTGCAACGGCAACCGGCGAACGAAACGACCTACCTCCTTGCTGGCAGAGATGCCGGAGACGTACATTTTGATCACCATTCTGAACGATCCGCTGTGCACGGCACAGGCGACGGGGATTCCGACGACTTTCACACTGGGGCTAGCAACGCGATCTCACTCACGTCACAAGGGCACGCGAGAGCACCCTTAAAAACGATGATCAGCCACCACTGCGTTCTCCACGTCGCACAGCTCGTCTCTGCTCGGGTAGGAATAGTTTCCAACGCACTCACTCCCGACGCAGGCGCCCGCCGACAAAACTGGACGATTCAAGAACGAGCATCACGAAGAAAAACAAGACGGCGTGGCGTCATTCGGTCACGTGGCGTGGTGGGCGGAAACCTTCGCCGCGACGCTCCCGTTTGGTTTTGGTTTCTGTTTCGCCCTTCGGTCCCAGCGAGTTCATGAATATGCTTCTCCCTCTATTTTTTTTTTTCTTTTCTGCTCATCGGTGCAACCCTTGTTGTGTCTCGTACCAAACGCTGCGGCGGCACTACGCCGGCCACAAGGTCGATGGGCGAGGGCCGGCGTTAGTCATCATCGAGCGCCGCGTTCTGCCACGTCATTGTGCGCTCGGCGATGAAGTTAATTGTTTGCATAACAAGAAGATAATATACGGTTGGTGCTAATTTTCTGAGCCCTATATCGCCAAAATATCCCGGACACGTATGAAACGTCTCGCAGGTGTTAGAAAACGACAAACAAATTTGGGTGGTTGACCTATCGATAAATGTGGTGTTCTTTTTATCAGCACAAATGCGAAACTACAAAATAAATATATTTGAAATGCATATTCCTGCTGCAATCTAAGACCAATGGCACAATAAATATAAACCTAAATGTTGGGTGAGAGTACTTTCGCTTATGACACAAAACACCTATATGTTTATGGGTTGAACTTCGCCCAGTGGGGGAGCACTGCAAGCTTCGTGCACGCGCTCATGTACTTAGCGCCGTGCTGTGTTACAGGAAACACACTCCTCCCTGCGACAAGCTGAGATCAATGCAGTGTATTTATAGTAAGGTGGGCCTTCTGCATGCTGGCCAAAGCGTCACCCCCGGAAAATGCCAAAGGCGTTACCCGTGACGCTGCGTTCCGCAGCGCTGAGCGCTTAATTGCGAGGCTTGAAGTTTCTTATAATGAACGCAGACACGACGCCTTTGGCATGACGCGCATGTCGATGATTACGGGGATGTTTTAAATGCATGTAGGTGCCTGCACATGTCATTAGCTATACCACACACACACATACATTAATTTATATATTCTAAGTGGCTAATTAAGGACGTTGTTCCTCGGGCCTGTGATGCTGGCTATCCCTCACGTTCTTTTTCACAAACACATGCACTTGGCGTGACGCAAAGAAAGCGTAATTAAATTCACTGACCGAAAAGTCTAGAAGAGGGTCTCATGATTGGAAGGGTCTATGATCGTTAATATGAACATTGTGGTTTTTACGAACTGAGCCGTAAAAGATTTTGGTGTACGCAGAAAACTACAGGTGGGTATGTGCCACAGAAATCGCGCACGTCCCACTATCGAGTACAGCCGGTGGTGATATGCAATACGTGCAATACATGGTAGAGATAGAGGGGGGAATGATGCATAGACAGAGAAAAAAATGAAAATGAAGGCTGCGGATACATCAAAAGCTAAAAAAAAGATACAAAGAAACTTGCAAAAAAAAAAACACAACAAGATAAAACACTGAGCAAGACCGAAGGAGAAATAATCAGAAACAAGCAAAAAGATCGCAAGCAAGATAGAAAGGCGGAGCAAGGGAAAGATAGAGAAAAAAACAGACACAAAAAAGAGATAGAAAAAAAGAGCAAGCCAGAGAAATAAACAGAAACACAGGAAGAGATGACTTGATGCGTCAAAAAAAAAACAAATAGAGAAAGGCGCAAATAGAAAGCAACATGAGCAAAAAAACAGATGCAAGAAGAAAAAAAAAACTAAAGAGAAACGGAATAAGTTGTGACTAAAAATATGCTTGCACCACTACATGTTTTGCATTAAGAAGGCACTGAAATATGTGTCAAGTGTATTTACGTACCATATTCACTGCTGGTTTATTGATTGAGCTATCAAAAACAAAAAAGGCTGATTTATTACGAATGGGCATGTTAGTATGATTTCATTGAGATTAGTTTTCATTTAATTGTGAGATTTTATTGCACAAGCTATATAATTTAGAAAATGGCTTGCGCAAATGGGCTCCAATATTCTTATGACAGCGCCTATGGCTGAAAGGATAATCATAGAACATCTAATTAATTTATAAATATAATTAAGGCGCAATCGTGAGCATAAATACAAAAGGTATAGACGCCCACTGGCGTTAAGGATGAGAGTTGGGGTACCTCCTTGTGTTCGGGCATGGTGGGGACGCCTGTTTGTTTTGTTGTACGTGTTTAGATGTATAGTCAATGCACCTCAGCTGTGAAAACTTGTATTGAAATTGCAACTGAGCCGGATTAGATCATTTTTTTTTCAAAGCATGACGTACACTTTACAAAGATAAAAATAAAAACCATACAGCTGAAACTCGATTAAATGAAGTGGTGAGGACACACGAACTATTTCGTTAAATAAAAAATTTCGTAAAATTGAGAAAGTGATTTTTTTCATTCTACCGAACTTGTAACGTAGCGGCACCCAAAAGCTACCGCAGCACTGTTTATGTCGGCGATGCATTCCTGCGCGCCCGATAAGTCTGCGATTCAAGGTGGAATTTTTTGTGGGGGAAGGGGTAGAGGATTTGTTGAACGTCTTGAAATACATCCATATTTCATTATTTGTACCCGGTAAAACACCCCCTTCATTCAAATTTCGGGAGGGAAAAGCCTAGTCCCCCCCCCCCCCACCGCAGGGTGGCCTAGACATACGGGACACTATGTCCGAATGTCCGAGCGATGCCCTGCAGTCAGGTCACGTGAGGTTATGACCAGCTACTGATATGCGATCACGCGGAGAACGATTGCACTGAGTGTTTGGCGAAGCCGATCAAAGAAAGATTGGAGGTGACGATCAGTGCTATTTGTCTCGGAGTTATGAAATAACCAGCCTCCACTAGCACCATCCGGTACGTAAGAACCATCCGAGTCCGTTGTGCCGTGCATTGGTGCGGAGCGCAACCTCGTCAAAGCAAACCTAGGGCCGTTACTGTGGCTCGTAAATCTTTTAACAAGAAAAAAAAAACAAATTTCGTATTGCTTTTTCTCTAAATTTTACCCTATTTTGTGCACTTAAACGTGTTAGGGTGAACGCTCGAAGGAGAACCCTACTCGGTTAAAACAATAAGGAAGTCACGACTTTTTTGCTGGGATATTTCAGCGAAAACCTTCGTTAAAACTGATTTGGTGGCCAAAATAGCTGATGGCAACATTAAACGTCACGGGTTTTCACCGCGAATGCAAATGTCTTCGTTATTTATGGGGAACTTTGCGAAATTAGATTTGGCCTGATCGACCTTTTGTTGTTTTCTTAAAAGCAATATGGGCGTCATTCCAAGATGTGCGTCTCCCCTTGAGATATCTCTGGATATGCGACCTGTGTCCCGTGGTTACTGCGTCGAAACGCCGTAGTCAGCAGAACAGATTCTGTCCTCGACACGCGTGCGTTACCCCCGTCTTCAAGAACCCCCCTTCACTCAACGCTCCACCTTCACTTGAAAAAAGCCGATAGAAGCGCCATCTCTAGGCAGGGAAAGTCACTGAATATCAGTGATAATTTGCTGCTATTGTAGAGTAGCGCAGCGTCATTTTCAGCCGAGCAGCGGCGCAGTGTGCAACTCTGTCCAGTGAAGGGTGGAAGTCGAGTCGCGTTACGCCCGATCGAGCGCCTTCAGAAGGGACGACCTTGGCGTCACCGACAGGCCGTGCGTTGGAGCGAAACCGCACACGGGCGACCCCGGCGTGCGCCCTTAATTGTTCTCCGATTTCGCGGTCTTTCTGAGCGGCTCGCTGACACGGAAGCACCCGTCACGCGGAGGCGCGACAGTCGCGCCTCTACGTGGACAGGTTTCCCGTGATGTTTGCCGTGGCTACTCCGGCGCACGCCTCGCCACGCGCTCAGCTCTTACCATTGTTCCAATAAAACCGCTCTGCTTGCATTACGCGAGAACCACAAATCTGTCCGCGTATTTCCGGGACCCATAACAGGCAGCTACACGAACCAAGTGGTGCAGGCAAGGGGGAGGGGGGGAGGCTAGAGAAGTTCATACCCCCCTTCCCTCCAAAAATGTTTCACCTATGCAGGCGTACAAGCACACACGCGAACATACATAAAGTAAGGTTGATTCCTCCCCGAAAAAAAAAAAAGTATTCCGGCGACGCCTCTGCCTCGCAGAGACGTAGCCGGAATAATTTAGAGCCACCAATCTTGCCTTTCTTGTACGGGATGATACCATCCAGAATTTTTGGGGGGGAACGTTCAACCATACTTTATGTACGTTCGTGCATGCATATGTATATACATATTCCACCCCCCACCCCCCGAATATTTTTAGTTTTGCCTGTATGAGGCAGAGGCGTAGCCGGAATACTATTCGGCTGCTGACCTGCAGGTCGCGGGTTCAAATCCCGGCTGCGGCGGCTGCATTTCCGATGGAGGCGGAAATGTTGTAGGCCCGTGTGCTCAGATTTGGGTGCACGTTAAAGAACCCCAGGTGGTCAAAATTTCCGGAGTCATCCACTACGGCGTCTCTCATAATCTCATATGGTGGTTTTGGGACGTTAAACCCCACAAATCAATCAATCAATTAGCCGGAATACTATATAGCCAATCTTGCATTTCTTGTACGGGATGATACCATCCAGAATTTTTTTTCGGGGAACGTTCAACCATACTTTATGTACGTTCGTGCACGCATTTGTATATACATATTCATCCCCCCCCCCCCCCACGAATATTTTTAGTTTTGCCTGTATATTACATATACAGGCAAAACTAAAAAAAAAAGCTTTTCGGTGGGAAGGGGGGGGGGATTTGAACCTCCCCCCCCCCCCCCTGGCTACGCCCCTGCTCACTGTTCACCACACGAGCTGGCTGTATGCAAGAGCTGGTTTCAGGCTGTCTTCTCAATCGATCGACATTCTGTAAACGTGTACACTTGTGTGCATTTCCCGTTCACGGCTCCACTGCGTTAACCTGCACGCGTCAACCGCGATGGGTCTGACTGCACGTTCAGGAAACAGTGCGCGTCCCCACGCAGCCACTGTGTCACCGCGTTTGTTTTTTTCCTCTTGCCTTCCTGAAATGCGTCACGTTCTGCATGCAGTGGAAGTGCAACACTGGCGGCGTCAGCTAGGGGCCCTCGCTTAAATGGTTACATAGGTGCATCCTCCATTGTTTCCCCTGTGCGGACGCCGCACGCCTAATATAATTTGCGTGAATGTGTAATAACGCCTTGCGTTTATAACCTCAAAAGTATTCTCATAAGCGGCGAAAAAAAAATAATCTGCGGTAACTATTTCTGGGATGACATGAAACTGTCTGGATGTTCAAGTCTGGATCGTCGTAATTGGGCTCTGCTAAGAATGCCTGGACATTATTAGCAGGAGTCGTTTTGCAGTCAGTGCTAGTGCACGCAGAAGATAAGATGTTGCCGATGGTATATAGCATGTTCATTATATATATATATATATATATATATATATATATATATATATATATATATATATATATATATATATATATATATATATATATATATATATATATATATATATATATATATATATATATATATATATATATATATATATAAAATAAGGGAAAGAAGTGTATACCTAAGGGCTCGTTTTTCCGTGTTTTTAACACAATAATAATGAGATATAACAGACAGTAATGCCAAGGAATGTACAGGGGAAGTTATTAACATTAATGGAATGTAAATAAGAAGAAAGAAAAGTGGATGAAAAAATTACCAACTGTAAGCAGGAATCGAACCTATATATATATATATATATATATATATATATATATATATATATATATATATATATATATATATATATATATATATATATATATATATATATATATATATATATATATATATATATATATATGAAGTACGTCGTTGTGTGTGGAGAAATGACGCTCACGTTAACCCAGCTTTTAAGTGAAGCGGCGAGCCTGGTCACGAGCGTGAGCTGTAGTTCAAGGACGCATTCGAAGGGTAACACACAGGGGCGAAGCCTCAAGAACAGAGCTGTTGAGGACCCAAAGCTGTTGGGCTCCCGTATACTTGCGTTCTATTGAATTCTCAACGCTTTATTTAGTTGTTCGCCGGCCACACCCAAGGAGTGCACATAAGAACGCAAGCTGGCCGGTAGCCCTATAGTACTAAAAGTGTGTAATAGAGAATTCTAGTGCCGAGCTCCCCGAGGAGTTTCGGTAGCCCTTGCTGTTTTGCGGCTCAGCTTGTGAACGATAAAACGCAACAACGTGGTATACAATGAACGCAGCACAGCGACTCACATTATATGCTACCTAAAGGTAGCATATACAGTCACCCTAGTTGGGAGTGCAAAGGAACGCAATAGCATGCGTACGCAGGCTATTCCGGGTCCCCGGCACTAACAGCAAGTTGTTCGAGCTGGGAAACCCACCGATGATAGACTCCGCGTTCACTTGTGCTATACCCGCGCTTTCTAGATTCGCCAGCCGCCCCAGAGTAGGAAGGCAAGAGTAGCACAAGCCGCTTGGGACCTCCGGCTGTGAAACTCTGTAAAGTTTCGCGGACTTGCGCGCGCCGTGCCGCCCACGGCAAGGAGCGATGTCTTCACGGTCGGTCGCCAGTTGACCGAGTGCAGGCGGCTGCAGCCAGCCACAGCACGGCCGGGGGGACCTGCGATGCGCGGCGATATCGAGAGAAAGCGCGAGCCGTGCCCCGGTTGTTGACTCCTCTCGTCGGCGCGGTCATCAGACCCTCGAGCAGCGCCACGTCGCCGCCGAAGCGGGACTTGCTGGATGGGCTGCTCTAATAGCCGCTGTGTGCCGCCACATGCCCTTACCGAGAACCGCGCGCCCCTCGTAAATGCCTCGTCTGTGCCGTTATTTATGAAAGGACGCGCACGGAATAAATACCTATATATCTTGTACCTGCACCGACTGACCTGACCTGACCTCGACCGCGGAACAGCCATAGACTATATGATACTCATTCTTTTTCTGTTTCGAGGGCAATACGACCAGCTTGTATTAATCGTCCGTTGCGTCGATTAGAGGTGGGAAAACGAATTATCAGGAACAGAAAGAGGGCCTCCATCGTTCGCTCACCATAAATCGGAGCCCTGCTCAGAGCCACAGGTAATTGGGAATAAAAGAATAGAATAGACGAGGTATAGAGCCAATTTTGAATTTCTCGAAGGGCTGGGCTATAGTATGGGGTCTTATAAAGTTAACAGTTTTAGTGTAAGAATTGGCAATGAGAGGACATCTGCCTAAACTGATGGCCAGCAGATAACATCTATGTCACTGTTCAATACAACTGCGTGGTGCCATGATTCGGTTAACAGAACTGGCCAACCAACCCATTGCTGCACTGTCCTATATTGATTGTGTAGAGATCGAAGATGCATCGTTGTGATTATCTGACGTTTAGGTCACGTGAACAGATGTTTAGATCTTTTAATTTTTATTGCATACGTTCCCCACTTATCTAGTTCCACTTCCGGCTGGATTATTACTGAACCTTTCCAGCTAAGGTTTACAGCTAAATAATCCAGCTGTAAAATTGAACCTTGACCCACCGCGGTAGTCTACTGGTTAAGGTACTCGGCTGCTGACCCGCAGGTCGCGGGATCGTATCCCGGCTGCATTTCCGATGGAGGCGGAAATGTAGGGCCGTGTGCTCAGATTTGGGCGCACGTTAAAGAACTCCAGGTGGTTAAAATTTCCGGAGCCCTCCACTACGGCGTCTCTCACAATCATATGGTGGTTTTGGGACGTTGAACCCCACAAATCAATCAAATCGATCAAATTTAACTTTTTTTTTTGGGGGGGGGGGAGGGTAGTTGGGCTTCCTTGAGAATTAATAATGAGATGATGCACACGAGACAGAAACGTGGGTGCAGCTAAACACGGGCCAATTGTCATATTAATGTACAATGAAGTTAACCTATACGTACGGTGTACACACACACACCGGTTCGGGGATCCAAACAGAAGTTAGTCATAAAATGAATCCCAGAGAATGCCCTTACAGCGGATAAGATAACGCCAAATGACAACGTCTCTTCGCGTGGATTTTCTCTCACACGTTCTCTCCGTGGTTCTTGAATGATAAAAGCGCGCGTGAAATCTCTGTGCGCGTTTCCCAAGACATTCGCGAGGAAAGCGGGCCGGTGAGCAACCGCTAGGACGTTCGCGTTTCGTCGGCATGCAACGCACGATGATGACGACTTTCGAAACAGCTCAACAGCGTAGCATTAAGGGCGACCCTGACAAAAGAGAGTGACGACTAATGGTGAAGTAAGCAAGCTTGAGAACTGCGCGGCGTGCGTCACGGTATTTTCTTCCTTTTTTTTTACTGCCCTCCGTTAAAAAAAATAAATAAATAAATAAACCTGGTCGCGGCGTTGTCCCACTTTCTAGCGACCGAGGCGAGTAGAGTGGATCGGCAGATTACGTATGTGCTTTAAGTGCGCGTGTTTGTAAACAAATGACGCACTTTTGTAACGAACGAACAACATCCCTGCGCAGCTGGTCGTGCCAAGTAGGAGGCAACAAGTAATTCAGCCCCATCATACATTGACATAAGAGGTAGGGGGTTTGGGATGTAAAAACATCAATTGATTGATTGATATGTGGGGTTTAAAGTCTCAAAACCACCATATGATTATGAGAGATACCGTAGCAGAGGGCTCCGGAAATTTCGACCACCTGTTTTTTTTTATATATAACGTGCACCCAAATCTGAGCGCACGGGCCTACAGCATTTTCACCTCAATCGAAAATGCAGCCGCACCGCAGCGGAGATTCGATCCCGCGACGTGCGGGTCAGCAGCCGAGTACCTTAGCCACTAGACCACTGCGGCGGGGTGGGATGTAAAAACTGTGCCAAAAAAAATTGAATTAAAAGGAAGAAAGAAATAAAAACAACGCAAAGAAGAGAAAAAAAGAGAAAAAAGACAACCGAGAATTAAATAATACACAACACAGGCGCTTGTAGTGCAGTCTAATTTCTTTCAGTGTCTGTTTTGCGTCATCCATAGTCCTCTCTTTCTTTTTTGCTGTTTTTACATCCCAAGCATGAACCACCAAATAGCCCAAATTTCTCTTCTAGGGAAGGGGCGATGCGACGTGGGGGGGGGGGGGGGATGCGAAGTCAGTCCCGTACATTGACATAATAAGGACGGAGAACAATTCCACGCTTCTGCCACACCTCCAACTAAGCGCTACCTTGGCGTCATTATCTGTTAGCTTCATTAGATTGCATCCTTGAGCGTGCACAGCATTCCCCTTCAGGGGGAGGTTCGTCGATCCATTTCTATGTTTTGTTCAAGCGTAATGTCGGGTCTTTGATTTCGCCTGCACAATACTTTTCTTCGTTACTGCAGAGCAAAATCTCGAATTTGCATGCTAAGGTGGTGACATGCTTCCGTAATGGAATGAAACCACAGCGTTCACAGTGCTCAGGAATACCAAAAGAGCTGATGTACTGTACAAACATGCATTTTCGAATTCAAATATACCGCCACCGCTTATTGGCCAAGAGCGAAACTGATATTTTAGAAGAAGCTTTAGCTAAAGTTACCAAGAAAAATGCTAGTAAACTTATCAGCGTGCTTTCAAAACAAATTACACTGCAAAACATGTAAATTCTGCACTCAAGTACCCATTTTGATTTTACCGATGTCAGCTTGGCTCGCAAGCCATTCGAGAGCTGCTCGCAACTTCAAGCGCTCCATCGGTAAACAAGATGGCGCGCTGAAGTGTTGTTGATGTTCCAGGTGCGCAGTGCAAATCTAGCTTTGTCTTTATTCTGAAGGTCGGCTCATTTGCATAAACACGACGCGTGTGCGGTTTCCAATGTAACGGCTATCTCGGTGCCCGAGATAAATGTATTAGATACTCGTAGTGGCAGCGTGACTCGAGTGCGAGCTTGCGGTACCGGTCACCAGCTGGCTTCACCATGGACACGAGCAAGACTAGCAGCATTAAATCGCTGCTTCTTCAGGCATGGAGAGAGAGGTGGACCGATGTGAGATGGGGCATCAACATCAAGAATGTTCTTCCGCGTGGCGTCAGCGGCGACGTGTACGACCTCGCAGACTGCATTCTGCAAGAAGCGTTGGTAGGTCCCGGGCCCAACAATCTCTTCTTGTCCTACCTCACGCACTGCTTGAGCGCCCAAGTGGTGTCCTACGGAGCGGTGCTGTCGAGCATTGGCCGATTTCAGTCGTTTTTTAAACCTCCGTGCATTTTGAGCCTGCTTCAGCTGCTGTACAGCATACAAGCCAAGATAACCTGCCACGGCAACGAAGAGGAATGCATCGCCTTGTGTAAGGCCATAGTGGGCGTCACTCACTGGCTGTACCTGTGCATGTGCCACTCGATCGGCAAGATCGTTGAGCTGAAGCAGAGCGCAGAGCACGGGCTCATCTTGGAAAAGGCCTACGAGTCGCTTTCCTTCTTCAGCGAGTCGACGTTTCTTAAGGCGCTCTTGTACATCGGCAAGCACGAAGAGCCCGCCGTGTACGCGCAGCTCGTGCAAAAGCAGCAGGAACTGGAAACCAAGTTGAGCCAATCGCAGGGCTTCAGCATACCCAAAGACACGCTGGAAGGAGCGTTGAACTTGGTCCGCCTCGTGGACGACATGCCCAAGATATCGGCGTCCTCCTGCGTCAGTGGCCGCGTGCCCAAGCAGCCTCTAGTGTGCAGCCTCAACGCCAACGTAGCGATAGAGGCGGTGCTGAATCCTGCCAGCGACATTCAGAGCACTGTCGACCATCTACTGCTCATGAAGAAGCTTCTGAACCTCACTTCGGCAGAGCTGTACTGCGAGATAATTAGAGCTGGCTTCATGGGGCTGGCCAACAGTAGCAGCGAAGACTTGAAGTGGGCTGCTTTCACATTTCTTAAGGTCCCGCAGCTGCTGTTGAAGATACACAGTGCTCGAAAGGATGATAGACAGTGGGAGGAGGAGCTGGAAGCTGGTCTGATGCAGCTGTTGAATTACTCTCCATTGCTTGATCTTACCGACTCAAAGTGTCACTGCGATTGCTTACAATATCTTTTGAACGAGCTTCAAAAAGTTGAGCTGTTGACTGAAACACAGGCAAAGGCACTTGTGCATCGTAGACAGACGAACACGCAAAAGCAGAACCTACCACGACCTGATCAGCAGACATCCCAAGCATTGATTCTTCGTGCCGAGCCCACGGTCACTAGTATCCTTAAAACACTGGATTCGGACTATTCAAAGAACCAAGATGGTCTGCTGGGCATTCTGTGTCACATTATATCGGGGAAGAGCTTTGAGCTTATCCTTTCTGCTGCTGCAGCTACTGGGAAGTTGAGCAGTTTTGTGAAAAAGCTGATAAAATTCAATGAATATAACAAACAGGTTAGCGGAGAAGCTACTAAGAATGCACAAACAAGGGCACTGTTATTTGACATAACTTTCTTGATGCTGTGTCACATTGCACAACATTATGGTATCCATTCAGTGACCTTTAACGAAGAGACAAAGGACTCTTTCTTTGCGGCATGGGTGCCAGAATGCCTTGCCGAAGGTGGAAGGTACAACTGTCCAGATAAAATGTTAGCTGGATGTGATCCTGCTAAAGTTGACTTGGTGTTGGAGCAGTTCATGAGCAACAGCTCAGACTTCAAGAACAGCCAGGCTAAGTGGCACGAAGTGTGTGTTAATGTGCCTATGGCAATCAAGGAGATATTGATAGCGTGGGAGCATGGTGCGATCTCAACTGACACTGTAAAAATGATTTTAGACAATGTTAAAAGCCGCATGTGCTGCCTTCCCGTGTGCGTATCTGTTTGGCTGTGCAGCTACATTACTGTCTTGCATCACGAAGAACGGTTAAAGCCGATGAACATGCTTCAGCAGTTTATGACACCGCTTACTAGCGAAAATGCTGCGAGCACGGAGCCAGGTAGTGAGCGCTCAGGTGCGCAGGAGCAGTCCCTCCAACAAAACCCCTCATACAAGGAGCGCTCAACACTTATGTCGAATATTATTAAGAAAATGATGTACGATTTGCACCCTCCCCAACACATTCAAGTGCTATCACATAGCCTGACAGTCAAGACTCCCTTGTGGAAAGTCATGGAGGATGTGTTTAGTGCGGCTCGTAAAAAGGGCTGGATTGATTTGCGAGCTATTCAGAGCTTGGACACGCTTATGTGCGTTGGCGGTCCCCAGTGGTTCAGTGACACTTTAGTGAGACAGGCACTGAAGCATGACCACCTTGAAGACCTGCATCGTGCCATTGACCTTTCTTTCGGCCTATTTCACATCGACATTGAGCAGTGTGCACTTGCTCTCCTCACTCAAGTGCTCCCAAACTACCTCCTCTGGGAAACACGACAAGACTTTCTCACCGAGCCGAGAGGCTCTGCCTTGGCAAGGCTTGTGGTTCTCAGCACGTTTGCTGCGCTGCAGGCCCGAACAAACTCACCGACCTTGGGCATGCAGAGAGGCGGCCGCAAACGCCCGTACTGGGACATGGAACTCGAAGAGGCCATGGATGAATCAAAGAGAATGCGTCCCAGCAAGATAAGGCGAGGCCTCAATGACTCGGAGCTTCTGGACGACACTCCGTTTGCACTCCAGTGCCACTCCGAAGAAAACTACCGCTCACTGGACCCTCTCAGCAAGGCAGTGGCCGACACGATGAGGCTGTTAATGGCTATTGCCTCGGACTCAGTTATCAGCCAGCGATCAGTGTTCCCACTCCTTCTGTTTGAACAGATTGTGCTCTGCGCAGGTGAAGAGGCACACCGTGTTCTCCAGTTTGCCCCATTGGGCCTCGTGCCGCAGCTGGTGCGGAGCATGCCCCTTTTAATGTCCCACCAACTGATTCTAGCCCTGAGCAGTTTGCAGACATCTAGGGCACGCAAGGTGACTGCCAGGGCCACCTGCCAGTTGCAGATAGCGCGGTCCCTGAGCAGCACTCACTTAACTTAACAGAAACTTGGAACTCATAGCTGCATCGGTCACCCAAGTATGGCATGCCGAAGGCCCAGAGTACACAGTTTGAGCTGTATTCGTCTGTCTTCTTTGCTATGCTAAGTTGGAAACTGTAAAATGCTGATGAATTGGCAAATGTAAAAATGAAACCATGCAGTGTTTGTCCTGGTTAAATGAATGCAGGTGCACTTGGATCGTCAATGTGTTGCGAAAATTACCTACTATTAGCATCACCAAAGTGTAGCTCAATATGTATATGATGAGCTACCGTTCCTCTTTTGAGTTAGTTGCACTAATAGGTCAGAAATTTAAGCAGGGTTACATGGTGCATTGCAATCAATGTGCAACATAGTGGCAGAAAATAATGACACGTAAACTATGTGGTTTAATATTGCTAAGGTGTGAATGACGGAGTCGTTTCATGTATGTTTTCCCTCAAGAATGTGAAAATTTTTGTCTTTGCTCGTACAAGTTTAGACAATAACAAAGGCGTTGTTTCTTCAATGAAACAATGTAATGGAACCTCGTACATATAAATGAATAAAATACCCTTTCTGGTTTTTAGTACTTTTTCTTGTTAAATGTCAGCACCAGACACCAAACAGTTACAGAGATTAACTTGCCAAACACTTGCTTACCTATTTTGTCACACAAACCATTACCATAATAATATACTGCAAAAGGCAGAATGCTGGAAATTGAAGTCATTGGCAATGTTGTTGGACTGGGAAGGCCATGTATTGCATAGGTGAGGTAATGGGTGGTTTACTAGAGCTATAGATTTGTTGCCTTAAGGACAGTTGATTGATTTGTGGGGTTTAACGTCCCAAAACCACTATATGATAATGAGAGACGCCATAGTGGAGGGCTCCGGAAATTTCGACCACCCGGGGTTTTTTAACGTGCACCCAAATCTGAGTACACGGGCCTACAACATTTCCGCCTCCATTGGAAATGCAGCCGCCACAGCCGGGATTTGATCCCGTGACCTGGGATTGATCCCGTGCCACTAGACCACCGTGGCGGGGCTGCCAAAGGACAGTAAGACATTGTTAAAGATGTTAGCGAATAAGGTGGGTTGTTAAAGTGAGGAAATATGCATGAGTAACTTGGAATTGATTGAAGTAAGGTAAGGTAATAATTGAAGTAAATTATTGAAGTAAGGTGGGAGGATTTCGAATCGCTGATAGAAGCTTCCATTCCTCGCGCTGTGTGAAAAGTTACTGCTGCTGCCTCTGATAATGGGGTAATCACTGCGCTAGATTATTTTATGAATAGCCAATTGTTGAAAAGTAGCAGCACGAGAAGTATGTGGAAGGCATGGACATGTATGGAGGATGTGAACTGAATCAGAAGTAGTTGGTGGGGGATCATTTCCCTTATACAGCACGATCAGTAATGTGGAGTTGTGCGCAGTATATCTGGTGCATGTAGATGTGTACGCTGTGCATTCCACAGACACAAGCATCCGTACGCTCACACAGAATAATCCCATAAAGCTGGAAGCACCAGGATAATCTAAAAGTCTTCACAGGCTGACATTTTGCTGTAAACTACCAGGATTGTACTTGCAAATCGCTGTTTTATGCTATCACAGTATTGCTTAGACTTAAAGGTGCTGTGTTTCAAGGAATTATGGTGATGTAAGCTGTACAGCAAGAGTAGGGATAAATATATTAGCCAATTTTTCTTAGCCCTTCTAGATGGTGAATTAAATATTGCTTCTAGGAAATGGATGACTGGTGGATGGGATGGTGAAACACTTTAGCAAGTTGTGGTAATATTGTGTCGTATATGGTTTGTTAGCAATGCATTGCTTCTCCTTTGTCGCTAGTGCTTTTGCCTGTTCCAGTGACTGTATGCCCACACCACAAACACTTTATTCAAAAATTACGATGGTGTCATCACGCCTTAATGCCTACGCATCGCGAACGAGAAGCCTGTCGTTCAGGTGAAGCACTGGCACTAGGAGTAGCTAAAGCCCAACTGACACTGCTTTACATTCGTCAGGTCAACGCTGCTGATGTTGGTTTTTATTAATGCTCCCATTTTTAAATGACTGATGTCTGTTTCTGCCGTTCCTGGGCAAACATAACCTCTCAGCCACGAACAAAGCAGAAACGCTCAAGGTGCCTTTGGTTGGCTGAGAAATGCTTCACATTTATTAAAGAGAAACTTCACAAGTCTCGCTTTAAAATAGCTGCTACCTTAACCACTTAATGCAGGACCTTTGTAAGCATTACATGGATATGTTATCAGTCCTCATGGTTGTAGTCCCAAATGTGTTTCCCATGGCCTCCTTTTCTGTCTGCCCACACAACCACAGATTTGACATGTGGGCCGTTGGCCAGCTCCAGCCTTCCAGTGAAATGTTGGTCGTTGCCTTTCCTGTAGCCAAATCGATGCTGTCCATGTGCAGGAACCTCTGCAAAACTTTGAGGAAACCATGTACCAAAATGAAAAAACTTAGTTTACCATTTGTTACTGAACATAAGTGCACCGTAAAATGCCGAGCAATCGCCTCCCTGCGGTAAAGGAGAATCTGACCAGATTTGGGAGTGCGGTGCTTGCTCAGAATTTTAGGGTAGTTGAACAGTTATGGCATCAACTTTGTACCAACTGTGTAATGTTTGGCTGTCGCAGTGTTCGGTGTTGTTCATTACTTATATAAGCTGTGCAAGTGCTCACTGTGCTACTACGTACTTCTGTGTAATTATGGTACCTGACATTCTGCTCGTAGCGTTTGCAAAGAATGCTTGCAATCAGTTCGTCTTCAGTACGCATTGAGATTACATGAGACCATGTGGCTTGAGCAAAACATATATTAGCAGCTCCGAATATTCATGATTTATCTCTTTCATTACACTGTGCAAACCAGTTCTCTTCAATTTCGATATCTTCAGATATGCTAAACCTGTTGCACAAATTGTGGCTTGCTTAATATAGTATGATCATATTTACTTTAGATGACAAAATCATCACCTGAAGAACTTGGAGTGCCCCGTGTCTTCTCTTCGGTTGCTTGAGGTACCATGTGCACTTCCGCGAATGGTGTCTGCATCGCGCATCACCTGCTGAATGCCTGACATGGCGGCAAGCTCCGGTGGAGCCGCTGGCGTTGGGACAGTAGGCGACCGCTCTATTTCCCCAGGCTCACTCTTTGGTCCTTTCTCGACACTGGTCAAATTCAATGAGTCTCGGTGTAGTATGATAGAGGCGAGCTCTCTGTCATCTTCAATTAGAAGTGTAAAGCCTTCCACTGTGTCATTCAACGTATGGAAGCTTGCGTTTCGGCTTGCCGAATCCATGGTGCCCTTGCCTATGTTACTGTAGTTAAAATATTTAGTTTCCTCCATCAGTTTGGGATCAGCTTCCACATCAGTAGCAGTAGATTTTGCTTGGGACGCATTTGCGTCTATTTTCGACTGGCTTCCGTTTTCTGCGAATGTATTAGGACTCACATAATACCTCTCTCGACGGTCCACCTCTTCAAAATCTTCATTGCTGATGTCTTCTGGGGACTCGTACGAGTGTTCCTGAGGGTAGTCCTCATCATAGTGGTATTCCGGTAAATAGTTGTAATCCTCCTTCGACTCCTGACTTGCTGCTTCTTCCAATGGCGTGTGCACTTGACGAGCACGTTTGACGGCATGCTGTTTTGTTAGCTGTACCTGTTTTTCACTGCCTATGATGGGATCCACACCATAAACTCGTGGTCGAATCACAGACGATTCGGTCATGTGGTCTTGTCGCGTCTGCTGCTCTGGTCCGCAGCGTCCTGTAAGCTGCCATACTTCGACAGGGAGGCATTTGCGTACTTGGGACCGCTTCTGTATGTCTGTAAGCTTGCGCTGTCTTGGTTTGAAAAGGTTTAGCTTTGGCCGTTTTTTTCTACGCCGTAGTCTTCTGGGCTTTGAGTTGTTGAAGCCTCCATGTTTCAACGTAGTGCCAGTGCTGTTGTCACGCTCTGTTGCATTGTTTGTTAGATGATTTGAGGCATAAGTGGTTGTGAATTTGTGGGTTTTGTTTGTCCGTGAAGGCTCAGAAGGGGCCATTGTTGTGGTTGATATGACTCTGTTCTGTCTTCTGTGAAGCAGTCTTTGCCTCTTCAGTGATGTGGCGGTGGCCCTTGATGAATGTGGCGCACTTTTATTTCTGACGATTGGCTCTGGAAATACAACTTTGCGACCATGTTGCCTCAACTGGCTCAGTTGTTCTCGTACGGCCAATACATTATTACCAACACCTGATTGTAGGGGACTTGCAGGTAGCTCTAAACGCTTCAACTCATCCTGTGGCATTGTGCGCTTCTGGCCATGTGTGTGGTCATTAGTGCCTGCAGGTAAATTTTGCTTCATGCCTTTTGCAGTAGATTGAGGTGTCTCCTTTTCACCTGACAATTTTGCTATTGATGTATGTGTGGTTTTTTTTGGCAACGAAATGTCAGAGCTATTTGCCAGGTTATTGCTCAAAATGAGCCCAAGTGAAATATCTGACATGCGAATGTTTGACTTAGATATCTTTTCATTCGTAGAGCCAGTAGGTTTCAGCTGCTTGTGAATGGCGTCGACAAATCTGTTTGTGTCTGTGAGTAACATTTTCCAGGCTGGATCATCATTGTACGAAAACCTCTCGCTCCTAGCTGCCTTTCTAGGCAGCAATTTTGTAAGGCCTGCAGAAGTGTGGATTTTGGGCCTTTCTTGATTTCCCAGTGGTTCCACATTCAAATTCCAGCCCAGTTTGCTGCTTATGTTAGCTGCTATAATGACTGGATATTCATTGTAACTTTCTCCAAAAGCTGTTGGGTGTAAGCCGTCTAGAGGAAATGTCTGTATTGCTGTTAGCACTGTGCAGACTGCTGGCAGCTGAAAACAATGAACCACACCAAAACACAATGTTACTGTATCGGCATTTACAAATGACACAAAACCTGTGCTGCACCCATAGAGAGCTGAATTACTGTGCGTGCTCAAGTGTCTGCACATAACTTGCTGCATACATCTGTGTCACAATGGCTGTGGTGACTGCATTTTTGCCAAAAGCTTCTCATGTCCTGAAATTAATCAATGCATTCGCAACACACAAATTCGTGGGTGATTTCAGAAAGGAGATACATAATTTAATCTGTACCTCATGCTTATTTATTGCTTTACAGGTGCTGTAGTGTTTTTATAACTGAGTAAATTATTTGCGCTGTCACATAAGCGAAGCACCATATGTATCGAAGGACCTGCGGGAGGGAGGGCAAAAACCATGCTCCACATTTGTCTGGTTGATCTTTGCGCCACCAGGTGCCTTCACAAACCCACCCCGACTTAAGTTCTGTAATATAGAGAGAGTAGCGACACTCTCCTTCATATCCTCTCCAAAGTTTCCGACCCTCCTCTCTCAAGTGTCCAAATCTTATCTATATCCTCTCCCGAACGGCCACCGTGCGGGCGCCACTTTCCTATCAAGAATGTTATGTCACGCTTATACTGTAGTCACGCCGATAACACGCGCGATGTTCCTGGCGGCCCGAGAGGAGGGTGCGCGTCGCGGCGTGTCGGTTAAAAGAATGGCGGTACTTTCCTAAATATATCCAGGGACTTTGATCCAAACAAGTTATCTCCCCCGGTACAAGCGCTGAGAAGCACGTTCGATCAGTCACACGAATGACTTATCAAAATCACTCCCCGTCCCACATGTAGGTGTGACTGGAAAAAATCGCTGCCGTTATGATCTGTATAGCCCAGCTTACGTGTACTTAAAAATTACACTTTACCTATAGGTCGCTTGGGCTGGGTCTCTCAGCAATTCTACTAACTTACTGGTCTGTCATTGAGTGTAGGCATGTGCAGGGGCTTTTGGAACATTAGCACGCAAAACCAGACATTCACAAAAACTAGATGCACAGGACGGGCGCAGGGTCCTTTTCTTGGGTGGAGATGGGGCGATGTGGGTGAAGAGTTATTGTTTACACAGGGACACTATGGGTGAAGTTAATCCACAGCACCCCCCCCCCCCCCCGTTTGCTTTCTGCCATGTCCCTCCCACTTAGCGAAAACATTCCCCCCCCCCCCCCCCCCTTAGGATAGGGAATGGGAGACGCTGTACACCGCGCGCTTGTTTCTACAATCAAGAAGACCACTGAGCACCACTTGTATTCGAACGGCTCAGCGGACATCACAACTTTTGGACAAATAGAACATTACGAGCCCTCTATTTTGTTTTAATACCTTAGCAAAGCTAGACTATCTTAAACAACTTCGTGTGGACGTAATTGTCTTTGCGTACTCACCAGCATGACGAAGAGATCTGGTCTCGGTCGCTACCCGATGATGCTTTTCACGCGTGCCCTGGTCGCATCGATCTGGCCTACGTGGAGGACCTGTCTCCTTCAGACAGGCCGCGACCAGCTGCTACAGGCGGCCGTCTCGACTGACCCGTTTCCTCGTCCATCCGAACAATTCCGCGCAAGAGTGTTCTTTGTTCTGTGAGGCGAAGCCACAGTTCCGTGACGGTCTTCGATTCGGCATACGTGTCGCTGTTCAACCCACCAGGCATTGCGGAAACGAGTCGGTAAAGTACTTCAAAAGAGTTGACTGTGGGGCGAGTGGTGCTTTGACATAGAAACCATCGTGAGAGCGCAACCAAACACTGCCCTCGTCTATCTCCTCCTGTGTGTCGTGTTTATAGCAGCGCTCTTACGATGGTTTCAAAGTCGGTATCCTTTCCTCTCACAAGGCGTCTCTCCTCAACTAGTTTTTCTTTCTTTTTTTTTGTAAGAAGCGGTGGTATTCTTTCACGCCTTTGCCGTGGGTTGCGTAAGTTGTACGTGTCTGTGGATGAACAAGGTAATTGGATCGATAGCATCACCCGGGGGCATAGTTGTGAGCGGTGTTCCTCTTCAGTAGGGTAGCGAAGATTTATCGCAGCGCCCCATCGTAAAATAAACTTCGCCCCCCCCCCCCTGTCCCCCTCCCCCACGTGCATACATATATGTTCGGTGCAGAGCTGCATCTAGACCTCACGCTCACAAGCAGAATTAGCTTTAAAAAAAATGTTTCCTCTGACAGCAGTGAGCTCAGGATTACAACCGATTGCTTAGCTTGACCAAAGAGCAGAGGTGTTTGCGTAAACGTGCGCAGCTAGGATTCCCCTTCTGGGATGAGGGATAGGTGAAAGTTCATCGCAGCACCCTCTTCAAATTGAGTCAATGTACCGGGCAGACCTCCCTTGCCCCCCTCCCTTGACACCCTAGTGTGCTCCGCCTATGGTTAAGCCAGCCCTTGCCACGTGACTGTGCTATGCTTTACCCTCCCCTTGTCACCCTATTCTGCTCGTAATTTCTATTCTCCTCATCCTCACTGTCCTTTCCCATTCCTTGCTATGCTTTATGGCCATGCTACCACTACGCTTTGAACAGCTGGACCGAGTTTTCTGTGGTAGCGGGATCTTTCCTCAGGCTATATACGATGTTATGACCATCATCAGTAGGCGCCCTGCTGTCGCTGCGAAACATAGCCGGGCAGTGCTCCCACGCCCGGAACCCCAGTTTCTCGGATCCAGCGGCGGGGAGCGACAAAGGGATTAGAAGATGGCCCGAGAGCCAATGTCCCTACAAGCAATTCCTCGGGCAAGCTTGTTTAGCGAGACGGCGAAGCAGACTGACTGCACAGGTCGTGTCTCCGCGATTCAAGTGTCTACTCCTTGGCTGCCCTTCATGGGAAAAGCAGAAGCAGCAACCCAACCACCAATTTGTTCAGGGAAGGAACCCTATTTCCCCTATCTCCTGAGCATTGCGTCAAGAGGGGCAATAACTATTCAGCGGACTGTGGGTTACTGACTGATGTCCTGTGGGTGGTGTTTTGTGTGTTTGATTGGTGTTCTACTCAAGGAGGAGGAGTCCGAGAGGGCTTAAAACGACGCCGCAGAGTGCTGGACGTCGCTCTGAACCATGTAAATGTTCAACCACCACATTCGTGGTTTGTGAACTCCTAATCTCTATGCTGTAAATAATTGTAAACAGTGCCATAAACCTGTTTGTTTTTTGTATCCACATTTTGTCAGCGTTCGTTTCCTCAACCCGAAGCTACACCACGCTACCACAAGAGACCAGGCAGACCCGGTCCGCAACAACTGGTCATCAGCACTGGGATTCGGAGCGACTACTGGTGAACAGCGCCGAGATCCGCAACAACTGGTGATCAGCGCTGGGATTCGGAGCGACTACTGGAAAACAGCGCTGAGCGCCGCAACAACGGGTGCTCAGCGCTGGGATTCGAAGCGACTACCGGTGAACAGCGCCGAGAGCCGCAACAACTGGAGTACAGCGCTGGGATCCACAACAACGACCACAGAACACCTATATGCTATATGCTACGATGGCTCGGCTGTTACCTCTCAAATTCCAATATAGTAGACGTTCCTGGTAAGTCCATGATGTGCACACAACTACTACACTTACAAAAGCATGCCAATCTACCTCATAACAGTTGGCTCGAAGCCAAGAAATCTAGTAAAATTGCTTGCTCACTGCTTCACATGAAACAGATTCCCACAAAGCGTAGGAACTGCTGAATTCGTTATTTTCTTTTCGTTTCAGGTGCCCATACAATGCATTAAGTGAAAGCAGCTTCGTTACGACAGTACAAGCTCTGAAACCACCTGAGCGGTCGTTTTAGTTTACCGGAAATTCAAGTCACTTACTCCACGACACAAGCTGATGTGGGCACTTCACTATCTGCCAGACTCTCGAAGGAGCTGCAGTCGCAGTAGAGTTGGTGCTCTACATTGCAAAGCCAATGAAAAGAGCTGCCTTTTCGTTGTATGGTGACACTGTAGTGTGGAAAGCGAAATGTTCACACTATACTTCTGCCTTAATGAAGGAATATTAGGAACTTCAACAAAAGTGTCCTAATAAATTTTGTCTTTGAAGAGAATAGCCACTGTTTGCAGGCATGAATGCTTTCCAATAGTTATTGAATACTTTGAAGCATAATCTGAGAGTCAAAATATGCAGCCGGACAATATGCTACGAAATTCATTTCAAAAACTAATGTATAAAGCACAAAACCCACATTCCTCACAGGCTCTAGCCTTCACTTGCAGACTAGCACTTGCACAAACGTAAAGGCCTCACCTTTCTCAGCTTCGAGTATTACCACCATAGTTTACACCTGTGTGTACATAGTTTTTTTTTAAATTATTATTGTGAACCAGCAACATCCATACTCACCGATGACTCTTGTCTGCATGATGGAGCTTCTTATTTTTCATCTAATTCATTAGTGCCTTTAACAAACATGCTAGACACTAGCCAATGTTGTGTTACGTCCTGTATACCATATACGTGCCATGTTAGTAGTTGTGAGAATGGCATTACTACAACACTAAAAGATGTTATAAGTTCAATTCACTTCTTCCACTTTTCAATTTATGAAGTTACTATTCGTGCAGTGCTTAGAAACACCGTGCCCTGAAGTGTTACTGTAAATTGTGAGATCAAAGTTTTGAAGCTGCACAATGGGCTATAACTGATGCGCAAGTATGGCTACAGATTAGCTTAATCTACATCAAGAAGTTTTCTTCTGTGACACCAAAGTGGGATGTCACAGAAGAAAACTTCTGTGATGTGGATTAAGTGCAAGAAAATTCATTGTAATGTGGCTTTTATGGCTGGGAATACGAAATATGCACAATTCATGTCATGGAAATATATGCCCCTTTTGAGACACTACTAAGCAAGTTGCTTCACCAACACTAGGGTGTATCACTTGCTTACCTGCAGAGCATGGGCTCATTTAAGTAGCTCACGAAGAGATGGTGCAGTTATTGGACTGAGAAAGCACCATCATGTCGTGTGTACTGGTTCTTGTGAAATGACGAGATGCAATCGGGCTTGGTCAGTCATTAGAAGGGAGATGATTTACGAGAGTTCCATTATGCAAACCTGTGCAAATTTGCATCTTTTTTTTTTATTTACCAGGAAAAGTCGTAATTACACGAGTGAATACTTTTTTTTTAATTGATCGATAAATGGTCATATACGAGACATCACGGACTCCGGGATACCCAGGTGCAAAAGTTGCTTGCTACGAGGGCTTCCTCATGTAACCAGCTTGTTTTCATAACTATGTAGATGGTACATTTTGCATTCTTTCACAGTGTTTTTGCAGCACATTTTATGTGCACTGTAGTGGCTTCTGCCGAGGTACTAGCGTTAAGAATGATCTTGAGGGGTGTTAGTTGTTTCTATAATATCACAGGACAATGTGGTTTGAAGTGAGGGCCCCACATAGGTGTATTTAAATATAACCAGGTCTTCACGTTTGCTTTTAGCACTGTGATGTCCACTGGAAGGGACTTCAGTCTCTTGTATTCAGTCAAAGTGGTCACTTGACTTCTCAATAGCCTCACTAGTCAACTAGTCTGAAAGGGAGTGTAATTGAACCCACTTCCCTTGCATTAACCAATTGACGCAAGGCTCAGTAACACTAAGGGCCAGCTGCATGTCGGCTGCTGGATTTAGCCCAATTCCTGTGCTCATTTTTCAGATAGTTTATAGTGTCCAGAATGCTTACTCATAGGCAGGCACATTTTGTTGTAAATCGCTGCAGCTTGTCCAGTACCTCATCTTCAGCGCCTATCTTCAAACAGGAGAAATGCTCATGCAGCTAATATAAAGCCTCAGAGATTCAAGAGCAACAGCATGATTGCGTTGCCAGTTTCTGAAGTTCGGCTGGCTACAAGCTGCTGGCATAATGTAATGTGCAGCTCTCGTGTTTGCTATGCACCAAGACGTGCTTACTGACACTAGGACATGAGTAGTAGAAGGTATTAAAATAGACCGCACCTGAGCTGCGCTGTCTAAATCACCTGCTGTGTGCAGAACCAGGGAAAATTTATCAGTAGCTCGCAGAAACCCAAGGAAGGTCCTGCGAAACACCCAAGTTCTACAGAACCCACTTTGAGTAACACCATGCTTTAGGCATTATTCATGGATAAACCAAGCAGTGTTCCTGCCTTGTAAGTTATTGCAACAACACTTAAGATTGCACACTTCAAGTCGCCAGCTAGCCAAGTGTGCAATACTAGCCAAGAAATATGTGCAAGGAATAAAACGACAAACGCAAGATGAAGCAACATGTGTACATTTGCCAGCACATCTTGCGAAGTATGTTACATTAACAGCTGCTTGAGCTAGGTTTAGCAGCATAAAAATTTAATGTCACAAACTCCTTCATACTATGCATTTCAGTTTGTCTCACCACAATCTAAGCCTGTCAGGGAAGGTACTTATTTTCTCTATGCGTACCAAGAGGATAAGATATAATTTAGTTTCATCAGGCAGAGGTAATATTGAAGTTTGTCAACAAAAAGCAGTCATGCAATCCTTTTGCAAGACGAGCATCAAGTATTCCTGGAACACATTGGACCTGCTACCAATTTGACTCAAGCCTCTTCCAGTTACCAGAGAAAGCCATTTGTTACAAAACTACTGGGTGACCCTTTACATTAATCATGCTTCTTTGAACGTTTGACCTGCTACCATTTCTATGTACCCACTTTTCGTTAACACAGGAAGCCAATTATTTGTTACAAAATTAGTGGCCCATCTGTTTACTGAATCCTGCAACATAAGCATAAAAATGAGAGGAAAGAGAAAATTGTCAGTGCATGGGCTTTCCCATTCTGCTAGCATAGGGTAGCAAACGGAGCAATTTCCTGGTTAACCTCCCTGCCTTCTCTCTTGTTATTCCTTTTTTCCTACAACATACAGGCTACAGATATTGCAGCGTTATGCTTTCCTCACACACAATTGCCAAGGGAGAGCAGTCTGGTTGCACTAAGTGCAGTAACACCCTTAGATTCCTGTACACAAGCCATCGTTAGTTTTACGAACTACAAATACAACATTGCTACTCGTTAGATCACCATTTTAGTTCAAGAAGCCCTGAACTAAGATGCAGTGCAAGACGAATTTACTTTGCGACATGTGGTGACAAGACATTTTGCAGTCTTGTTACCATACGTCACAGTTACCTAAAGGGACACCTAGTGAAGCAGTAAGTCAGCTTAGACAAATTATACACGAAAATCATGATGTTGGGTTCATCACTATAGGGTTATTATTAGATGAGAAACTGCAAACGCTTCACTCAAGTTTTTCACTAAAATCTCTACTATGGCGAGTCACAGATTTCAAAGTTTTTTTTACTTTACATTCACACTGGCTCTATGAAATTTCTTAAAACTTTGTGTGTTAAATCTTTCACTCTCTCAGAAGACAATTTCATTTCTACCGATTAAGAACTAGCAGAGGGCATCAGAATCTATGCCATCACAGCGACTGCTGCGACAACTTCAAGGTGGTGTCACCACTAGTGATTTTTCGTAACACATTTCTCTCCTGCCAAGTCTTTGGCAAGATGATAATTTGTTATTGTGAAAAAGTCAGTACCAATACAAGAAAAATCAATTTCCTCCCAAGTGTCCCTTGATCTATATGAAAGACTGCTATGCACCTGGTTGGTTAGGTTATCAAACTTTATTGCAATTAGTGCAGGTACATAACATGCTTATAGCAGTCATAAAAAATAGTAGTGTAAACAGCAGAAGGGTGGGAAAAGGGGGAACGATGTTCTACTGCAAAATAGGTTGTGAAAAATTAGTTCCTGCACCACTATTCAAATCTATGAGCTCCGAATTCAATATCTATATGCTTTAAAATAGATCTACGAAATTTCATACGGTTAAAATATTCTCGCTGCGCCCGATAAATACAGATAATAGAAACAGTTGCTCCAAGCACCTTTACAATGCACAGCAATTGAAGCCCGGCTGCACACCACACCATGACAAAGGTGTTCAGTGAAATATGAACAATACACTTAGATCACGACGACATTACAGCAATCAGCAGTAGCAACGTTCCATTGTGGCCAAAACCTAAAGTGGAAATTCACTGAACAAGAGAACCACGATACAGCAGAAGGGAATGGCTGGCCTAAAGCAGTCTTCGGCTGCAATACGAATATACAGGAACTTTAACATTCGTTAATACTCGCTTTAATTATCAAAAAAAGGTGATGCACAAACATTGATAAAGATGCCGCCATGCCAACAACCCCGTGGCCACATTGTGACACGACTGGGCTCATATGAAAAACATTTTCTTCTCCATCAACGTCGATATCTTGACAGCTTCATCAAGGACTGATGTTGGTAGCATGGAACCACCAGAGCTGCTGCCAGAATCTGAGCCATCAGTGCGAGCATCCACATAGCACTTGGCCCGCTTTGTTGCATGGTGGGCATAGTAGACTGGTGTGGGAATGGATACAGACCGGGAGCAACGGGCGTATGTGTGACAGAGCCCGTATGTGAGCTGCTGAAGCGTATCCGCTTTGAAATTGTTGTCATCCCACAGCACGTAGTAGTGGGCAGGGCGGCTGGTGCCCTGGATACCGAAGTGCGAACACAAAAAAAAGTCGAAGTCGACAGGGTGGGTGACTTCAGTGTCGATGACAGTGCCTGGAGGCACATTGCCACACTTGCCACAACCATCACTCCTGTTCCGTGGCATGAAGCGAGTATGGTGCCTTTTCTGCACAGTGAGAAAAGTGATGCCAGGCTCATAGCCAAGCTCCAGCTCCCTGCACGCGTCTCGCAGGGCGGCAAGTTCAAACTGTTGCACATGGCTGAACTGTCCCTCGCTCACGCCATCTCTATAGAAGATAATTTTCTCTGGCTTGACACCGTTAACTTGGTAGAAGCTGAGCAGAAGGCTCTTTGCAATATTCTTCATATCTTTAATGATTTCAATGCGTGCCTTTGCCACTGTGTTCTGCTTCTGTATGCGAAAAGTGGCGATGTAGCGAAATGCGAAACGATCCATACTGGCAACAACAGCTGCGATGGAAGGTTTGTTCATTTCTGTGGGTGCTGGGTGGGTTACGTCGGCCCCCATTACAATAACTGGTCGGTTGAAAATAATGGTCTTCACTTCTTTTGGAATGGCGTTGTTGATTCCTCCAAGTTTTGCATTCACCTTCTGAAGGATGTTGACGATGGTTGCACGATTGCATTTTTTCACGATGCTTTGGTCTGTCACGCATTGAGTTACCATGCCAAGATCAGTTTCAGCAACATTTTTCAGAGGACAGTAAAGTGGAGAGTTTCTGCCACTTCCAGCAAGCACAAAGAAAACGATCTGAATATCTTTGAATTGCCTCTTCTGCTCGCAAAGCACCCGTTTGGGATCGTCACTGGGCCTGCAGTTAGTCAGCTTTGCTGGTGGTGCGATATTCATGCCTAGCTGCTTGCCATGCTGCATCAGCATGGACACAAAGTTTTGTATTGCAGCCTCGGGACAGAAGCGTGGATTGCAAGTGTTCACGATAGTCCACACAGTCATGTTTACCGGTTGAAAGAACTGCTTGCCTTGGAGCTCCCATGCACCATCGGTGGGATGAGCCAGTTTATCGTCTCCGTAGACTACATCATGTGCAGGCAGCACCCTGGCCGTCAGTTGCAAGGGCTTGTCGCTCATGCGAATGCCAAAGTGGTCCAAGTACTGCTTGTTTGCAGCAATGCAGCCTCTGACATCCTCTTGAATGTTTCGAAACCTCTCGTGTGGAGGCACAGCTGCTTTTCTGACGACAGCACTGGTTTGGTTCTCATCCAGCTTGCGTCTGCAGTGTTGACCAGCGATGACCTGGCAAACTTCCACGGGAATGTAGTTTCTCTTGGAACCAACCTCAATGCACGGAAGGTTTGGGTAGCGCAGCTCCCGGTACATACTCTTAAAGTAGGCAGCTACACTCTGGGGAGGAGTGCCAAAAGTGAGATCATTTGCCGAGCCAGCAGTCACCTTTTCAATGACGTATTTGCGGGGATAAGGCAAGTGGGTCGCTTGCACCTTTAACTTTTTCAGCTTCTTGTTCAACTTCATAATCTGGACATTATCCAGTCTTGTAACTTGGTCCATATTTAGGTCACCTCTCCGATCACCCAGAATCTTACCCATAAGGGCCACCAGTGGGCCAGGCTCAAAAAAGGCTGTAACCATTGTGTTCACATTCACAAACGGTTTCCATTGGCCAGGCTTGAGGCTAGTCTGGAAGCCATGCCACAGCTCAAGACCACCACCGAGAGAGGCATTGTCTCGAGGTGGCCTGTAGAGTGATCTTCCAACAACTGAAAGACGTGTGGATGGACCGTAACGGAGGATAATTTCTAAAGCCTGTACGACAGCCTTTGGCACTTCTGGTGTCTTTGATCTACTGTTGTACAGCTGCCTCATAAGACTGAGGTCTAGTTGTGCAGCAAACTGGATCTGTACCACAAACTCATCTCGCTTTGAGTTATCTTCCATAATGACAGTGAATGACTGCTTCTGAAAACCAAGTGAATTTTTTGTGTACATGTTTTTCTGCCCATCAAACACAGGCAAATTACCAGTTAAATGCTTTGCGTGTTGCTCCACGAGAAGGATAAATACACGACGCTTGCAATCCTTTGACAAAACGGACTGCATACCACACTGTTTACGAACACTTATGTCAACGTCGTAGTGGAAAATGTTTCCGGTAGGCAGAGACACTTCAAAGTGATTTGCCACTACCGGGATGGTCCTTCCATTCTTCCCATAATCAGGACGACGGGGGAACTGCGAATTGACAGTACAATGTTCAAGACTCAAACCAGCTAGTCCTAGGGCAACACTCTCTGGTGATCCATCCCCACTGCATCTGGCCATGGATGCAAGACTTGAAGGTTTAAGGCTTGTCTTATGCTGCATTGCTCCATCAGGTGGTGTGGGCGGTGGTGTATCTGGTGTAGCATATTCTGCAAAAATAATAAAAAAATTAGATAAGGATAATACTGCAAAAAGCTTAACATTCTTTCCCAAATGAAAACAACAACAACAAAATCTTACTAGCTCACCACCTCAGGTTAGTGAACATAGCAAAAATCACATTGGGATGTGCTGCAAGAATTTAGACTATGTACCACATCGCACACAAATGTCGTGATGAAAGAATTGCTCAATATATAGTTTATAAGATAAGGAACATCTTGCATGCCTAAATTCTTTTGAGAGAGAGACAGTAGTGAATTAAACTTTGAAATTCACTCATGCACTGAACACACACGGGGAACCATCTCAATTCGGAAGAGTGTACAGTGTGAACCCACATTAACAAAATCGTGCAACAATGAAACTATTTCCTCCTGTCCCTGACAAACACATAAGAGTCTCCTACTTCTCGACAACGAAATGTTCCTATCCTTACACATTTTCCCTTTTGAGCAAAATCGAAATGCCCAAGATGCGCTCAATCGCCTTTGACACACACTAAAGCAGCATCAGGTAGCACTGCATTGATCCTTGAATGGGTGCCACTATCTTGTGTTCAGAAACTGCACCCCAGTGCTGGAAGTATTTGAAGATGCCAAACGTCTAGCATGTCACTTGTTCAGATCTTTATTTTTCTTTTTTTTAATGCACAGCCACATTGGCGTGCAACCGCATTACTGTTCATGCTAGCAATATGCTGGCCATGCTCATGCACATGTGCAGCGTTTAAAGGGACCTTGAAACTGTTTTGGCGACACTGTACAAACACATCGGGCCGGTAGGCCAAGACCCAAAGGTTGTTTAGAGACCGATTTGAGCTTTCTGCGTAAACTGCGCAATTTATTACAATGGTTCAAAGCTGTGAAGCGCTGCAGATCGGTGCGACTTGATCAAACGAGTTTTCAACGGCTCTTTCACAAAGGGACATGCTCTGGCTGCTTGACAAGGCCAGAGCACGTCAACAGCCACGTCACCGTAACTGCTCATCCGATTGGCTTTGATGGGCCGTAGAATGCATGAGAGTAACATCCACTAGTAGAGTGGCGGCACCTGTTGGAGCAGGAGTCGCTATTCTACCCCTCCGTGATCTTCGTCTCCGTTACCAGACAGTGTGTGTGCTGCCAGGCACATTATGCAATGACCTCAGAGACTGCGCGCAACCCGTCGGCGTGCCATCTCAGAGGTATAGACTGGTAAAAGCTCAAAACATCAAGCGCATTCATGAGAGCTCTGTGATTGCCAGCAGTGCCTCATGAGTTGAGGAGGCCAGGCAGAGGCGAGAAGGAGGGTATGATATAATTGTCCATAGCAGCCTTGGTACACAGCGTGTCACTAAATTTGTGGTGCAAATGGTATGGTCAGGGTTTACATGACAGAAATTCAAGGGTTTTCGAGAACCTTCAATGCTACATGTGTGAATTTTCAAGAACCACTTGTTAGAAATTCAATTGACACATCGTCAGGAGAGGATGGAGCAAACATCGAAAACATGGCTCAGATTACCTTTTCTTTCTAGATAATCTTCAATCACAGTTTTTCAGAGGTGCATAGATAATTGTTTTAAGCGCAACACAAGAGGCAAAGTGTTATTCAGATAGGCAAAGCTAAGGAACTGTTATGCTACTCTTTGCTGCTTCTCCTATATTTTCATGTGAATGGCCACTATCTCCCGGTGCTTGGTGTTGGCAGTCTTCCTAAGGCTGTTTGAGTAGATGATGCATGTCAGGTCACTAGTTGGCTCTGCCTATTCTGCATATTAGTCTGCTGTAGCTGCCAATTCCGTAACAGTGACTTCAGACTTCTTTATTTTTGTAAGAATTTTGACTGCCTCCTCAATGCAACATCTTTTTCTTTTAATCCTCCTGCTCCTGTCTTTTGCAAGTTTCCAAAAACGCACAGTTTTGTCCGCCACGGTGAGGCAGCCGTTACGGCGGTTGGCTGCAGACCCGATGGTCGTGGGTTCGATCCCGGCCACAGCAGTCACATTTCAATGGAGGTAAAATGGTAGAGGCTCGTGCAGTCTGCGATGTCGGTCCGTGTTAAAGAACACCACACGATTAAAAATTTTTCGGAGCGTTCCAATATGGTGTTTCTCATAATCATCTCTTGGTTTTAAAACGTAAGACCCCAGATATTGTTCTTAAAAAAATGAAAGGTGTTGGTTCCTTGCAGAAGCTAATGATTTTCTCAATTTTTTTTACAATAGACACATTCAGGGTCGAAATAGAATTAGGAGCAATTTTTGGAGCAGCGAAATGTTACTATTGGTGCACCAAAATTCAAATTCAAAGCACTATGAAAGAGAAGTTTATAAAATATGCACAAACCTTTCTACATCCTCTAAATCCCACAGTGAATATGAACACTGATATTTCAACAGAAGTAGTATTTTGAACCACCCCTCTAGGCAAACGAAGTGCAGATTGGCATTTCTCATGCCTGTGAAATATTTTGACAAACTCTGAAGATCGATATTGTTATGCCAGTGAGTCCTCGTCAAACGACCGTGCCTCTGAAAAAGGCAATCTGGGTCAAGGCCAGCCCGCAGTCTGCCTGGCGCGATCACCTCGACGGCGTGAACACGCGCGGCGCTCCTCTGGCCCACGTGCAGTGAGTCAGTTGCGCACGTGACAGCGAGCCGGCGTCCTCGTGTCAGGTGGTCTGACGCATGGCGCGGCGGCCCCATTGGCGGAATCTGCCCGGACGACCAGCGGCGCTTCTGATTGGACATTTTGGTTGGACCTGGTGTAAATAAAAGAAGCCCTGCGGCGCGTCGCGATCGGCGGTCCTATGTGAGAGGCGTCCCCGTGTCGGAGTGCCGACATGTGTGTGAGGTCTTAGGCGAAAGGCTGAACTATGTGTTAGAGGAAGAGCTCGGCTCTTCGAGTCTCTGTCGGCCCCAGTGCCGAAATTGTAACGCCTCTGTATATATGCTGTACATAAACCTTGTTTGACTCACCGTCGTCTCGTCCGCTCGTCTGATCAGCTCTGCGCAGAAGCAGTCGCGAGCTGAGAAACATACGCTACCAAACGGCTGGTGACCTTCCCGGCGGAGTCGGAAGCAGTGGCGCCTTCGGCACCGTGTTGGCGTCGCCGTCTTTCGCAACAGTGGTGGCTTCGGCGGGATCGGTCCGGCCTTCGCAACAATATGTAAGTTTGCCAAGCTAGCGACCGCGATATTTGGGGGACTCGCAAGACTTAGGAGTACAGGTGATGAAAAAAACAAGGGCACACAGTGTTTTTTTATTTTGTAGGGCAGCAGCAATATCATACAGTGTCTAAATAAATGGCAGTAACTTTTTTAGACATGAGCAATTATATTAGTACTTGCAATTATTTGGCGTATACACGCACGAGTAATTGAAGAAACCGTGTTGTGTCACGTGACTAGTGCTAACAGCCTCTTCCAAATTCTAAATGCTTTTTCGCAGGCCATCAATGTACTGTGGCAAAGGTGGCTTAAGTGGCATTCTGCACGGGTTAGAACAACGCCAAGAAATTTTTTAACAGCTACACCCCCCCCCACCCCCCGTCCCCATTTTATTTTCACGATAGTGTGCAGTTTTGGGGCACAACTTCTCGGCTCACTTACAAGGCGTGTTTGACTATATAAAGTAACACAGGAACGCACCCGTTGGCCTGGCGACGGCACCGCATATCTATCGTATGTGCCGTTGCTATGGCAATTAACGCAGTGACCAGCAATGCTGGCACTCGCAACATGTAGAGTTTGTTCGTTGCAGTAACAGCAGCATACGCTTTTAGCTTTAGTTTCCAAAACGCCGTAACTACGTTTGCTGACCCGCCAAGTGTTGCTGGCTATGGCAATGCATTTTCATCTCGAAGTTGTGTTGTCCCACCGATAGATATCAGCTGCGGTCAGCGGGACCCATGGGAGCACGGCGTTGCTACTTCATCTGAGCGATCACATTTGAGGATGTCCTGGCCTAACAGTGGTTTATGGTTAGGGACTGCATGCCTGGATCACTGGACTGGTTGATCATGCCACTATAGGCGGCCAACGTGGCAGTCAATTTTTCGCTGAAATTAGTGCAACTGAGAAAAGTTTGAGGGTGCTCGGGCATTTTGGGGCAGCGTGGCTCAATTTCGACAAACGTCATGATCTTGGCGCCATTGCCGCAGCTGTTGCACCCCTGCACATTACATATGCCACCTGCTACATTTACAGCATCACAATAATCTGTGAAATGTGCGAAAATGCTTACTAAAATTGAAAAAAAAAAGGAAAGTCAAGGATTTTCAAGGACTTCCGAAATTTCAGCACCTTCTAACCTGGAAATGAACTTTTCAAATTTTAAGGATTTCAAGGGTTTCAAAGACCTGCATGAACCCTGGATCATGCTCTAGCCTAAACGCTGACAAAACTTCAAAAAACAGTTCCAGGGTCCCTTTAAGCACATTACACAAATGCTCCACAGCTTGCTTTGAACTGGATTGTAGTCATGCTAGCGCCGCGAAGTGTTCATTGGTATGTTTGCAGTGGCTGGCACTAGCTGGAGCTATTTACAGTGAGCGCACCCTCCCAACTGCTCAGACAACCTAACAAGTTAGCCAGTCAAATCAAGCTGTGCTCCAGCTATTGTCAGCTACTGCAAACATACTGAGAGCACTTCGAGGCACTGTCTTCAGTCTAAGCCACTGCAGGGTCATGTGTGTGCGTGCTTTTTTTTTTATGTTTAAAGAGCAGCTTAGAGCTGTGCTTAGACCTGTGTTGAAATGGTTCCACGCAATAAGTCTACGCAAACCAGTAATATAAATATAGATGCACGAACAGTGTTGGACGGCCCCACTATAAAGAAAATATGGGATGAAGACTGCCACGCACGAGTATGTGTGTGGGAGGGGGGCTAACAAAAAGTTTGCGAGCCTCGTGTTTCTGACCTCTGCCGTTTGGTGCATCCACTGGCTCACTTTAGGGCTGGATCCAGCCACTAATTTTAGGGGGGGGGGGTACCCTGAAGTAACATTGGAAAGGGGGTAATGATTGTTTTTTCACTAGCAGTAAGACCCCATCATAGCATAAGTATTGTTAATTTGTGTGCACAGTAGTTTCACTCATTTGTCCTAATTGGTGATAATAGGTGGATTACAAGCACCGAAGTGACAGATGTGGGTGATCCCCCTTCCATGAGAGTAAAATCTGAGAAATCCTCCTCGGCACTATCGTTACCTACCACGTTGAAGCAAGATATTTTTGAACAGCTCTCACTTGGTTGGGGTGGCGTGCATGGCACACCCGTAGTTTCTCCCAGTGGTTGGGGCCTGTTCTGGGCAGGTTGAGGCTGTTTGTTGGCCTGGTTAGCAGCACCACCTCTGCCTCTTCCACGGCCCAGGCCTTTTCGTAAATTAGATGATGCTGCCTGCATTGCTCACCTTCACGGAAATAATACGCAATATCAGACAGGTATGTAGGGCTAGTTTGCATGGATCGCAGACACACATAATCGGCACAAGAAACACACGAGACAAAGTGCAGAGCCATAACTAAATATTTACTGCAATAAGATATGGAAATTTGTGGAACGTGCATCACCCTGAGAAACAGAAACAACTGTAACAGTCATTGCCATCCTGGAATACTACAAGTACTATTTGCCTTTTCGTTCAGTTTCAAGACTGCGATAGCTATGCAGCACCCAAGAAACTTCGGATCACTTTCTAACACAGAAGCAGAAAGTGTCTCTTTAAACATGTGCCAGAGTACAGAAATCATTTTTTTTTGCTTTCAGGTAAAAGGAAGGCGCTTAAAGTTAAGGACTAAACCTTGTAATGCTGTGCTTAGCTTCGAAGAATATATGAAATATTTGGCCAGACAGGGGGAGAAAAGTGCTGAAAATGTGTGGGCTACTCGCTAAGGTTTTTGTTCCCCGCCACTGCTACTACAGCTATCGGAAGCCGTCCGGCAGGTGTTAGTAAATTCGATCCTGAGAGCAACTCTCTGCGAGAGCTTGTGACAATTACAATGTTTTGTTTTTAATTGCCTTACACGGTTCGTGTGTGTGTGAATTTGTACGTATGAGCCGATATATTAACATACATTAATAAAAAATAGTGCCCCCCCCCTGTTCCGCACACTTTGAAACGCACACACAAACCTACGCTACTGATTTCAAATAGCCCTAGCAAGCCAAAGCGAACAATACAACTATGGGCTTGCCTACGCGCGCAATAAAACAAAATTTTAAAAACTGCATCATGTCAAAGCGTGCATAGTACAATGGTTGCAGACGACACCGATACTTTACGTGTGACGCAACACAGTGACGAACGCCACCAACCATGTGTGACGCAACACCAGCTATGTGTGACGCAACACGTAGAAGGCACAACTCCGAAAGCAAGTTTGCTTTGCAGTTCGACGCCTTCACAGCAGTACACGAGGCCAGTGGCATATTTATCGTTGTTCACCAGTACACGGCAATAACTTGGCGGAGCCATGCTGATAAAAATGCTGCAAATGCTGATGCAAGTGCTCACTCGAGTGACCTAGGAAGTAGACGTCACTGGTAATTGTCGGTTGTGTCGGCACACCTAACATTCTTCCAGTTGATTATTTATTCGGAAACGCTGACCATTTCAGGTGGTCTAAAATAGTGACGAGCCGCAAACCGACAAATATGTCGCTTCTCGAAATGGGGGCACAAATACACCAGCGCAGTTTGTATTTCACAACCACCCGTAATACCGTATCTGTGACTAAGGCGGCTTCGGCAGCTTGCGCTAGTTAGTGCTAACGCAGAATCAGCTGGACAACCAGACGCCCTAACAGTTCGAGCAAAATAGCATATGTAGCATCGGTCACGCTGCAACTGCGAATACGACGAGGTACGGTACGTGATTACTTACGCTGACAGACATGGGTGGCCGCAAAGTGCTCAAAGTTTCCGTAGTGTACAAACAGCCAGCTAAGTGCTGGTTAGGGCAAGCGTTCATAAACAGCAACAACAAACACAGAAACCACAAGTGAAGAATTTTATAATGAACGCGACTAAATTCTGCAACAGCCTCCGTGTCACCTTTAAAGCTGCACTGAATGAACTCGGATAAGCAACAAACGATCACGGGTGGACTTACCAATACGTCGCTTTAGCAGAGAATAACAAGTTTCAACCTACTCCCCAGCGAGCGGGGAGCCGACTGACTCATAGAGAAATAAAGAAAGGTGACTGACTGATTGCGTCGAAAACCAACGAAACTCAGGATATATTGCTCGAGTCTCTCCCTTGAAGTAGGGTGGTTGGCTCTTAGTCGTATAGTTGAAGCAGATGGTAAAAGATCATAGATGTATTTGTTTACATTTGGGGTAAAAAGCTCAGAGGGTGAAAAGAGTACTCTGTTGACGCATAGCCTCCTAGATTTCTCTTGCCTGCCGGATGAGCGCAAAACGCCCGTCATCTTAGGCGACGCTGCCTACGTCTTTGTACTTAGCCTTTAAGATCGGCAATTTTAGCGTTTGTTATTAATTTTAGAGGCTTTGCTTTGTCTTCAAGAAGTTGTTTGTTGAATGACGACGTCACTAATGTAAAACTAATTAAATTACGTTTACGTCTTTTTAAAACTTTTTACCTTATTTTTGTTGCATAGAAGCTTCAAAAACGTAAAAATTTATTTGAAGACGCTTCTACATAGGTAGCGCCACTACCATAGTTCCGACGACGGCCGCTTTTCAAGTGACCGCTGGTAATCCGGCAGGCAAGAGAAATTTAGGAGGCTATGGTTAACGTCACTGCACGTGAGCTCAAGAATTAACTCCATAAAAAAACTACAACAACCAAAAGCGCAGCTTTGTATCTCACTCTATTTACATAGCCTACCTGCACAGAGAAGGCGGGCGTTTCAAACAGCGTTTCTCACTCACAGAAGTTGCGAAGGGTCTATGTTTCAGATAACTTTTCGTAATCAAGAGCTACAGAAACGGTGGAGTGAATAAACTTTCATAAACCAAGACAGTTCCTGAATTAACTCGGGTGGAGCCTCTCTTAGCCTCAATGATATCCACTAGGGCAGGCTAGGGCGACTAAGAGAAACCAAGGCTTGACTTCTCTGATCGTTGATTGATGTGGGGTTTAGCGTCCCAAAACCACCATATGATTATGAGAGACACCGTAGTGGAGGGCTCCGGAAATTTCGACCCCCTGGGGTCCTTTAAAGCGTACCCACCCAAATTTGAGCACACGGGCCCACAGCATTTCCGCCTCCATTGGAAATGCAGCCGGGATTCGATCCCGCGACCTGCGAGTCAGCAGCCGGACTTCTCTGATCGTGGATCATTGTCAGCGATTGTGGCGCGAACTATATTGATGAAAAAACTCGCCAGACGCCACGATCCTTGTGAATCGACGTTATGCGAAGCATTCGTCCGGGGAAAGGGATCGTGTTGTACTTTTTTTTATTGAGACCTATGTTATAAAGAACGCTTAGTAAATGTACAAGTGTTGCACGCGCAGTATGTTGAAGAGCTGCAGATGTTTACATAAAGTTGTTTTCATTTGCGCAATGATGCCAACAGGAACACGAATATTAGGAACATCAGAAGTGATAACCGAGGTGCTGGTGGTCGCTAGTCCTGGACACTGCTACATAAATCAACTTCAGCGCATGACAACTAACTGCAATTCACGTTAACCCGACGTGACGGCTGTATCATAGGAGTACATATGTCATGTTTATAAAAATTGGATATCCCTCAACATTGCAACCAGAGTTGACGTGTCACGAACATTAGGGTTTATTCGAAAAGTAGTTCCGAGACCTGGCGTGGCTCTGCGGTATAATGATTGATTGCCACGCAGAATGATTGGGTTCGATTTCTACTGGAACCCTGACATTTATTCTTTGCATTCGTCTGGTCGACGCTGTCGATGTCAGGTTTGTCGTAACGATCACACGTTAAAATTGCCCATGTGTGTTCTCGTCGTTCCTGGGCAGATACGAAGTGTCAATCACCTGCCGCACATGCCCGCATACCAGTGGCACATACCCGCCCGCGGGTATGTGCCACTGTCTAAAGGGAAGTGTTTGATGACGTGCGCGAAGGGATTGCGCCATTATTCATGTGTTGAGCAGTGTGTCATATTCGTAAAACCATCTTACCCGAGCTCCCATAATAATTTTGGTTCACGACAAGTTAAGGGGGTGATCACGAGGGCACCCAGATGCAAGCGGCTAGATAGATAGATAGGTAGATATATAGTAAGACGCGGAAAGTGCTTGCAGTACGCTAAGAAATGTTCCGAACTTGAAAGCAAACTAACAAATGACATTTGTTTAGTACTGCCTTGTAACTCTGAAAGCCTGATCACGCAAGCGGCGTTTGTATATTTGGGGTTTACTTTTTTTTTCAAATGAATTGCGACCCCGAAATTTCTCGACAATTTTCGAAAAAGTACTTTTCTTAACAATCACCGTGCCAACGTGCACAACGTCATTCCCTACGCTACGGCACAAGTAGTGCCTTTTTTATTGGTCATTTCTAAATAATACGTCACAGTACGCATAGGCGGCGCCCAAAACTACGACACGAAGCAAACAGAATAGTACACCACGCTCTGTGACATAATTAGTCTTGCTCTGAGCTGGCGTATGTTGGTCAGCTAACCTCAGCTACTATAGTTCATTGTACCTCAGCATATTGGTCCATGAAAGTGTGCGAGCTTCCTGGCAGAGTTTCGCAGCTCGTGTGACTTAAGAGTTTTCATGATGTTGGGCTACCTTCTGATGTTGGAAATTTTTTATAGTCTGTTGGCTAACCTAATTGGTTCGCTAACTTTAGCTATACTAGTTCATTGTACCCCGGCATATTGGTCCAACGTGTGCGGGCTACTTAAAGCTGTCTTATGCCAGAAAATACTTTGCTGAGTGACCCGGTCAACGTTTATAGATAAATTTACAGGAGCTATAAACGTTAGACCCCGTAGCCCCAGAACAAAAGCCTCCTAGATTGAGTGGCGTGCAGGGCTTTGCAACTTCTCCGCTAAGGAAAAAGCGCAATTATCGTGGCGCTGTGGAAAAAAAAAATTGGGCAAGTCGATCGATTTCCCAACTTCAGTTACGGTGAACAGTACGACAGCGAACTTTAACTGTAACTGTCACACACTTCTGGTGAGGCCCCGCCGATCCAACATCGACGTGCGGCAGACTCGCAGGCTTCCACTTTACGCTTCGGCCTGCGACGCCTGAAAGGCCTCAAAGTGGTGCATTTCAAATTTATTTGCGGGTTGGTCGACCCGTGCGGGGTTGCACGTGTGGTGATGTGTGGGCCTGACCGACGCACTCATAGAGCAGACACAGAGTTTGATTACACATAAACAAGCATTTAATTAAAACAGGGGCAAAGGCAGGAGATTACAAAAATAGCAGAGGAGGAAATCTGATACGCGCGATAGAAAGAACAGCTATATAACAAAATAGGCTAAAAAACACTACAAAAGATACAGGCTAAAGACAAATATGCGGAATGTTAACAAACTGATGACATGAATCAAAGGAGATACAAGACAATAATTACAGAATGATCATTGGTCGCGCTTTTGAATTTCTATGTGCGTCGCAGCGCACACAACTACATAGATTAAAAAAAAAGACTGGCTAAAACAATTTAACAGTTAAAAAAAGTCACAGTAAAAAGTTCCATACGGACCAGGCCAGCTCTTGGTGCACGTAGGGGAGTTGACGGGTGCCACTGAAGGTCTCGCCGGCTTGGTAGACGACGAGGGTGCCCGGAATTGCAGCCGTCTCAATACGTTGCACGGGTCACTCCATGCTCGCCGCCTACGTGAGACTCGCGACACCGACCACCGCACTTGTTGCTGGCTGTACGTCAACTGCTCTTCCGATGCAGTTCAAACCTCCTCAGGGGCGTCCACGTGCTCCCATCTCATCTGGGAGTAATTTTCCTTGTTGAGACCGCTGGTTTCCCTTCCGGTCAGGGGCAGGGAAGACGAGCCGGCGCCACGCTGGGTCGTTATGGTCGCCGGATGTCGTCTCCCAACACAAAAACGCCCTTCCTTGGAAGATGGGGCCCGCGGATGCTCCGAAAATTGGAGTCGTTTGTGACGTAGCCCCCTTCTTAAGAATATTACTTCGTAATGTTCAAGGAAATCACAAACGCTCAATGTTCGAGAGCCTGCCGTGTTCCGGTTGTCCACCAATGCGTTTTCTTTTTCGCGCACCATTTCACTGATGTGGACGACATCGCAGAGAACATCTGATACACTACACCTTCATGGTCATCATACGATGAATGTCATAACCCGCGCACCACGACGCGGACACACACATGAAAAGACAATGACAAAAATACTGCACACTTCAGGAGTAAGACAGGTAAGCATTCTTCGATGCCACATATAAAAAAAATACACGCTTTAAGCGGTATTGAAAAATCACTTGCTTACACGCAGCTTTCGAAAAAAGATGAATGAGTAATAAATCGGCATGATCATTTGTGCACTGTTCTTGGACATGCTCCACACTAAAGTGCTTCTTTTCAAAATAATAATAGAAAGAAAAGTCTTGAATAACACAGTGTCATGTTTATCACACACGCGTACCGTGAGACACTTCGATTGTATGACCAACCGGTCTCTTAAAATGGAAAGCCCAAATAATAAAATAACCATATCCCTAAATTAAGGCTTCCCTAACTGAACGGGTAATAGGTTGAAACAACAGAACATCGTCTACAAACACACAGACGACAAAAGCATACCAAAAGATTAACTAAGCTATTAGTCCCCCCTTTCATGGATTGCTCCTAAATTGAAAAAATAAATAAATGAACATTGTTTTAAAAAATGTCCTTTTTCTTTAAGGCCACGTTTTCACTTCGATGTGCGTAACCTTTATCCGTGCTCGAGGTGGTCGCGCTCTTGGGGGAGCCCTTCGAAGCAACCAGGGCAGACAAAAGAGTGTACGGCCGCCACACGGACGCCTGTTTCCCGTTAGTCTACCCCATGGCAGCAAGCCATCGTCAACACCGCGTTCTACGGAAATGCGCTTCGCAACCGCGTCGCGTCGTCTAGACATAATGCGCTGCCTCCCCGTGCATTCCGCTGTTCGAACACAAAAATGGAGTGGTGGGGGTCGGCTCCTCCGAGCAGCAGGTACAATCGCCTGCCTCACCCCCCTACCCTTCGGGCGGTTTGGGGCACGGGGACGTGCTCGCCTCACGAATGTCA